TGAAGAAAGTAGTTCTTTCATTTGAATGATCACGACACAGGATTTTTTCCACACACTTCAAGGAGAGAAGCACCTCACGAAACCACATCATTCACTCTGACAGTGAAAGGGTTAAGAATTATCGATTGTATTGGACTGCGAGCAATCTCTTATTTTCTTCAAAGTTACTGGGGTAGCGCTAAAAGTCTTTTTTTTTTGTCCGCTAAGGCCTCGACGGATCTAAGAGAAAGGGCGGACAGCAAGCAGCCTACAGATTGTATAGATTTCTGTCGCTAAAATTACGTGTTAAATTTAGATATAGACAAAAATGTTTCTTTGGAAATTGCTCTTGTCTATAAAACAGAGTGTAAAGCAAATTGTGTTGAGAAATAAATCATTCTTGAAACTATTACTACATCAGTGTACTACGTCTAGGTATAGATCAGTGGTTATTTTGGGGTGCCTCTGGTGGCGATTCTCACTACATACATAATTGACCTGAACGAGGGAAATAAGAAACTCCTTTAGTTCTGTCTTGTCGAGCCTGTGCGCAAGTGACATAATGCATTGCGGCCCTTTTGCCCGCCTCTTTGCCAGTTCAACGGAGTTCAGTGGAAGTGACTGAGAAGGTTCGTCCCTCCCACCTCCCCTGGTGGCGACTGACGTCTCATACCCTCGTTATTCTTGATGCCTATTGTCCCGTTAGTCGCTGATTCCTCCCATAACTTATATTTAACTTAAGTTCCCCCTGACGGGAAAATAGGTATGTAGTGCGAATATTATACTTAGTTACCATGACTTGGTCAATATAAAAAAATGTGGATGTCATTTGAGTAAGATTTTTCGTTTCCAATTGCTTCCCGATATCTTGACTTAAGTCTAGTCAGACTTTAAGAGAAGATTGTTGACTTTTTTTAAAATAACAAAGTGATCCCTGCTAAGCTATAATAACAAACAGCAGTTAAAAAAGGGACTTGAGTTTCCCTATCTGATACCCCTCTGATTCCTTTCTAAACGGCATTTTAAGAGGTATATGGGCTACTGCAAACATGCGTAGCGACAGCGAGTCCTCAGAAAAACGTTTCGTCTGATCACAGTAAAGTTATTGTCTTAAAATTTAATGCATGTGTTTCCTGGGACGCGCAATTGCCAGAATTGGCCCCTTTCAGCTGGTGTCACGTGATCTACACATTTTTAAAGTCGGAACAATTAAATTGGACAGAGCTAGAATGGGAACAGTCCCCACGTAAAAAACAAAATAAGGTCAATAAATGAATAAACAAAAAATCGAAGCAAATAGAAAAACGTATCCCGTACACACTCTTGAACATTTGTACAAGACTAAAACAACGATAAAACTCCGTCCTAGATGTCAGAGGTCTTAATACTTTCTCGACCTTGGTCTTCTCATTTCTGGCTGATATTTTAGTTATAGTCCATGATATAAAAAGGTTCGTTTTGCAAATTAATCAAAGTCTACTCAGCCTTTCGTTCTACTGCTTTTAAAATCGAAGATGGCGGTTCTCTCGCCAGAAAAATAAGTGACAGAACTTCAGGCTGCAATTAATGTTAGACTACGAGTAGTCCCCCATTTTTCCTCAGGGATAGTAGAGTGAGCGAAACGCGAGCGCGCGTGAAAATCACCCCACGTGAGAAAAGGCGACGTGTCGCCTTTTCTAATGTTTTTTAATGTTGACGCGAGCTATATGTGAAATGTGAGTCCCTATTCATTTCGATGCAAAAGTAATACTGAATGATAAAGCTGAATTCATCAAAGCTTAAGGCCAGTGGCGGATCCAGACCCTTAGATAAAGTGGGGGGGGGGGCGGTCACTCAGACCCTCAGATAAGGACGAACCCGATCTCCCAAAAAAATTTTTTGGCCCAGTTTAGTCTTAAAATAGCTTCGAGTTATTATGACCTGAACACCTTACCTTTGTTTAATGCTTTAGAGCCTCTTCGTAGTGGCTTTAAAAAACATAAAGAAAACTTAAGATGACTTTTTAAAACAAAACTTATAGTAATGATTGGGCCTAAGAATTTTTCAACATAAGCATCAACTTCACCTTATAAATTTTGGTTTTTTTTTGGTAAAGGACGAAGTTTTCCTTAGGGCCTGTTCTCACTATACCAGATAGCTCTGGCGCCGGCACGTCTCTTGAAATCAAACCGGACAAGAATTCTGTTGACACATAGGAACGGTGAAAGTTTTTCGGCGCGATTTCTGTAACGGAGCAAAGCTACGCGGCGCCGCTGGAAAATGGAGCGTCATATATCGGATAGGTTCTGTGCCACACTTTGTTGAAGCGTTATCAGGCATTCGGTCCGGTAGCGGAAGTGAATAAGTAGAAAAGAGGACTGGAACCCACTGACACGGAAGTAGATTTTCAGGAGTGAGGATTGGGATTGAGACTGAGACTGAAACAAACCCCTCTCGGCCAACTGCTCCGGCACGATGTTAGAAGTATATGTGTGGGAAGGACTTCTTCCAGTTCTGTGGCGTTGCTGTTCATACTCAGTACCGGCCGGATAGCACTAATAGCTATCCGGTATAGGGGAATCAAGGGCGGATTTAGGGGTGGGCCCAGGGGCCCCGTCTCATCCCTCTTTTTGTCAGGGAATTTTTTTCTTTTGTTAACGTGTGTCGGATATTACTTCGAGATTTGCTACTTAATTATATTTTCTTCAAACAAACATTGTTAATAAGGAAGGAATCTGCTTTCGAAGCCTACATTTTTAGTCGCCAATGATCAAAGCTCCCAGAATACATGCAGTAATTAAATATCCGTCTCAAAGAAACTGGATTTGACAATTTTTCAGGGAGACAATGTTGCCGCCTTTGCCGGGAGGTTGTGCTCTCGCAGCAATCGCTTCGGTGCCTGCTAGCATCATAAAGTGTTAATTACTTCTTTGACCACATCCACACCTGTAATTTATTAAATATTTCAGCATTACATGTTCAATATGGAATCCAGGCATTTGCTAAATTTAAGCGTCCAAAATGCACTAGAACACATCGCAGAGAACTTCAATCTCAAAAATTTTCTCGGAGGAGCATGCGCCCGAAACTCCCTAGAAAAGTGCGCCGTTCGCAGTCCTGATGGGCGCTATCGCGCGCATATTGCCACTTTATACTACATCTCTCTTGTTTACCCTTTTTTGCCAGTCCGGGACATATCCATTTCTGGATATAGGTATCGTGCGTTGTGATTGGTTAAGATCAAAACCGAAACAAAGCATATTTGGCCGAGAGCTACTGGAGATGAGTCAAACTCATATGCTAATAAGCAAAAATGTAAACAATGACGTCACGATGAATTATTGCTGGTTTTCAGTGTCACGCCATTCAAAATAGATCAAAATAAAAATCAAAACCATTCGATAGGTAAAGTCCAGAATGTGGCAAATAAAAGGGGGTAAATATACAAAGACCCTCGCCAAGATTTGAGTCGAAGGAATAATTCGTATACGAGATATCGTACGAAAATGGTTTACCCAAATTTATAGAACTTTGTATGGAGAGGCCATGCTGGAGCTCATCCGGATGAGCTCCAACATGGCGGACGGAAACCAACTGAAACATCTGTTACCGAGTTTTGCTACAAAAGCGTGAATTTACTCCTAGAGGAACTGATAAACATTAAAGTAATACTTTTTCTAACACTTGAACTGTTTAGATAGCAAAATGCCTCGAAAAAAGTCACTTTTTTAACCTAAAATCTCTCTGCCGTCATGTCATGTCATGTAAATGCTGCGTCACGCAAAAGCTTAGAAATTCAAGCGTACTCCATTACAAAACCAAGAACCCTTTTGAAGCGCAAATTTGTTTGAAAATTAGTTTTGAGCTGCTCTAATATACCATGAAAGTAAAATCTCAGTAGGATAGAGAGTTTTGTAGTTTGAATTTCAGTGAAGTCATGTGAAAACCGGTCCTATTATGATCTCTTGTGTGAACATATTCTTAGTCGTATGTATGGATTTCTATCGATCGGCGTAAATAAATTCTCTCTGATTTTCGCCTCAGGAATTTCTATACGTTGTAACTGACTTTTAAACTCGTGGGCTCCTGGGTGCATTCTCTTCCCCGCCGAGCTACTCTCTCTCCGTGACGTCACAGCTCACGATAGACTCCAGGGCCGGGTTGTTCGAAGCTGGGTTAAGGTAACCCACGGTTAGACTAGTGTGAAATTTGAACTCGGATATGAGAGCTTAAAAAGCAAATTCAGTTTAATTCTCTGTGTCTACAATTTGATGATTGGATACTCTAAAAAGAATAGAGAAAATTATCCGATAGTGTGCTTTTGATAAAAGGAAAAAGAAACCAGGGTTAAAATTTAACCCCGGGTTAGCGCTAACCGGCGTTCGAACAACTGGACCAAGGACACCGAGCCGAGAACGCCTAGGGACTAGGCTGACTCAGCTTCATTTGTAACCAAGACCACGTGATCAAAAGAAACGAGGGGACGAGAATGGAGAGTGAACAAAAAAAAAAAACACTTTATCTGCTTTCGTTGCCTGCGTGCAGACGTCTCCTATTTCCTTTGTTGCACGCGGAAAAGGGACGACGTCCCTTTTCGACAGGCCTGCCTTTTCCACGTGCAACAAAGGAAATAGGAGACGTCTGCACGCAGGCAACTGCTTTCGTAGCAAATATGCCTTATAATTTATATCGCCAGTATAGACGGTGACTTGGTTTAACCAAGTCACACTAAAAGCTTTCATTAGATAATCGCGTACGTTTGAACTTGCGGGTGGTCAGTTATAATTATAATTATAATTTTAAATTTTTGATCAGAAAATTCGAATTATCTCTTCTATACACTGCGGTAATTTCTGTCTTTCAACTTGTATTTCAGTTAAATTAACGCCTTACAGTCAATTAAGAACATGAGCATAATCATAACGACATTGGTACCGAATAAACACCTGATTAAATACAGCTGTGTGAATCGGCTCTAATCATACTAAGAAGTAGTTTTCATTTATCATTTGCAGTCATTTGCAGTTGAAGAAGAAGAAAACATGAAAATGTTGACCTCTTTTCGCATCTTAAGCCTTGCTTGGTTTGCTGTAAGTGTTCTCGGCCAAGAATGCGTAGATGTGACTCTTGATTGTAATCAGCCTGTACCTACAATTTATAAACTGGGCGATGCCTCATGCGCCTGTAATAGGCCAGAGCATGCTGGAGCATTGAAGTACGACAGCGGTAAAGTTCATGTGTGTTTGGGCAGCGAATGGAAAGCTTTACAGTTTGAGGAAAGCTACGGCTCAGAAACTAACCCTGGATATTCTTGCAAGGATATTTTGAACAAAGCCGGAACACAGCTTAATGACGGCGTCTACTGGATTCGTCTACCAGGTACGTATGAAAATAGTGTCGACTTTATCAAAGAGGCGGTGTCACGAAATTTATCAAAATTCAAACGTTGGGAGCTGCCACCAAACTAAGTGAAAGATAAAAAAAAATGTCGCTTAAAACGCAACAAGGTGTGAAAAACACAGCTAATACAATTGCAAAAGGAAGCGCGGATGGTCAAATGTGAAGACGGCTGAAACGGAGTGCAATTGTGGGTTTTGAAAACTTGTTAGCCTAACAGTTTTTTAAAATTCATTTTTTTTATTTGTAACGTTTAAAATCATGCTTGGGAGGCATATTTGTACAGAGAAGAAGCGGTGATTTTGTACTTTCCAAGCCGTATCATTTTTCGATCTTCATAGCGAAAAACGGCGTGTAATTGCTCTCATCAAAAGGAACAAGCCAGCCGTTACACAGCCCTGCCTTTTAACATTCTGTCATATCAACAGAGTTTATAAAATGAAGCTTTGTGTTTCTGCGTTATGATAATTAAAAGGAATTTTTCTTTTTTCTTTTATCAGGAGTAAGTTTGCGGGAAGCCTTTCCAGTTTACTGCGACATGGTTGCTGGAGGTTTGTGAAAATCTTTGTGTCATCACTAGAAGCCTATATTTTTTGAGAATTCTTGAAATATCTTATTTAACGGGTTGGACGAATTACACCATTTTATAGTTTGGTATTCAATTTATTGTTAGCTCTTAATTAAATTCATTTATTTACATCGAGTCAAGTTAAATTTGTAATTTATATTTAAGATATATTTACTATTCAGTTTACTGAGTATGTATTTTTTAATTTAATGTTCACTTACACTTTGCATATAAAGCATGCATCTTAGTTTTGTTGTAAATTTAAATAGAGGGTCATCGACAAATTGAATAGTTTTTGTCAGTTTTTGTAGCTTTTTCATGCAATCCTCTTTAAATGAAGTGTATTATTATTATTGTTATTGTTATTATTACTATTATTTATTAATTAAACTCAGTTTTGCCTGTCAACCGGAAAAATTCCCTTGGAGTGGGTTACAGCTAGTAACAAGAGCCATTCACCAAGGGTAACAAGGGTCTGGTCACCTCTCAACTCTCAAGAACTCTTCGTTGTATTCTTGCAGTTCGTAATAACGGAATGCGGTCGTCTGCACCTGCCCTGGTCTTACCCTTTTACTAATGTTCTGAAGCGACTTATTCAGACCTTGAGGGATTACTCCCAAACCTCCTACAGCAACCGGTATATGGTGCACCTCCACTTTTCGCATAGCCCACATCGGAGATCGTGAGATTTGATTAAAAAGAGTGGTCAGAAAACAAAAAAAAAATTCAGTAAGTGCGTGACTCCCTTTGCAAACGATCATATGGGACCTAAAAAAAATTCTCAATAGTTTCTACACAAATATATCAAAAACTTTATATCACCCCACGTAATGCATAATTCCGATTCTGGAATCCGGGAAATATTTGCTTGTGGAATCCGAAATCCTTGGATGCGGAATACAGCTCAAGGAATCCGGACTCCATGGCGTGGAATCCAGAATCCAAGACTGTCTTTGGGGCGACTTAGTATAAACGGCAACGGTACTCTTGCGCCATTTGCAATTAAATTCACGGTTTGTGTGATGTAATCATTTATCAGGTTGGACCTTGGTATTCAAAATTGTCAGCGGTGTTAACAAGAAAGTATGGGACCTGTACAACTCGGACTTAACGTCTGCTGAATTCGTAACCGCAGCACTTGACGTTACAAAACAGTACCCGGATCACTACAAGAACCGCGTGATAATGAACTGGAGTAGTTTCAATGCATCGCAGGTTAGTAGAGAAAGTTTTAGAGAACACAGAGGCCCAGAAGTAATTGCAATAAAATACCACAGCAGAAGCATAGAGTAGCCAGGTACTATGCAATGAACACACTATACAGGGGCGTAGCCAGCCTTTTTTTGCTTTTAAGTCCTAGTCATATTGAAGTCCTTGTTGGCTGTTCCCGTCATTCAGTGTATTTTAAACCAAAGGAAAAAAACTAGAGCAAAAACAAAGAGGAGATAACAGTTTGCTAAACAGTATTTAAGAGCTGAGATAGCTTGAGACCGTCCAAAAGTACGAATTTTTAACCTAAATGATTGGAGTGAACATAGGGGATCTCTACAACGAATCTACTTGAAAACCAAGATGGCTCTCACCGACAGATTTTCCTAGTGAAGTATATGCCAGTTTTGAATGCCCATCGCGGCGACAGACATTGAGTTGCAGTTTCACGACTTTCACGACCTTTTATCTCGTGATTTTAACCAAAATTCCTGTTAATCCCTGGCTTAATGGCCGCTACGCCACTGGTATAGGATATATTTCGTTCTCTTTTCACCTTTACTGCACCACCCGGGGGAAGTTGTACTTGGGTTAACGTTTGCTGGGCATGTGCCGCTGGCTTCTCAGAGCCCCTACCCCATTATAGTCTATTTTTTGGCCTATTATATACAGCATCTTAGTCACTTTTTGGAAAATGTAATTTTCGCGATCCCAACTTAGTCACTTTCTATACATCTACCTTATCAATGTGCTTTCAAGCAGCGGAATGTAATGCGGCCAATATAATGCGAGCTTATTGTTAAATTTAAACAACAACTTTCTGATTTTTTTTTTAACCGAGAGTCTTCCCATTTTGAATCCCTACTTACCCCAAAAATCCGAAAATTTGCGACCCCATTCTAGAAACTCTATTGAAAATGCGACCCCATTATAGTCAGTCCAGTCGTGAAAATGCGACCCCATCCAGCGGCACATCCCCATTAGCCTCTTGTAAGAGAGTATCCCCTCCTCCCCCCGGGCCGCACCATTTATTGTGGTTCCGTTGGGCGGGATGCTCATGGAATTTTTTTTCGCATGGGTATTGCAATTTTAAAACTAATCAGGACGGAAATAGTGACTCAAAAGGGAATAGCAAAAATAGAGCTAGGCTCCGTTTCGTGGGTTCAAACGAAAAGAACGTTAGTGACTACAGTTTGCGATAAATGGTGCAACGAATGTTAATTTTGTATTTTTTTGACTTTAACTTCGGGTCAGAATTGATTAAAACGCAAGCCTCGGTTGGTCTTCGGACGTCTTGGATTTTCATATGTTAAGTAAATGAGAAGGAGTAGAGTGTTTTAAACATTAATTAGCATGCATAGTCTTTTTTTCCATTGCATATCGGGAATACCGTAAAATTCCGAGAATAAGCCCTGGGGCTTATATTTTTCAAAGGCCCTTTTTGAGGGGCTTATTTTTGGAGGGGCTTATATTCGGAGGGGCTTATCTACGGAGGGAAATTTGCGTTTCAAAATCGATTGGGCTACCCTTACAGTTGGCAGGAAATTTGCCGTTTTTGCTAAGTTTTACTTTGTATTTGAGGGCAATTTTCCAAGTACAAGCCCCCGGGGGGCTTATATTTGGAGGGGCGATTTAACGGAGGGTTTTTTGCGTTACCGGTTTGGGGGGCTTATACATGGAGGAGCTTATTTTCGGAATTTCACGGTACTTAGTTCCTTTGATCTCTTTTCTATTTAAAGGCGAGAGTGACACTGTACGAAGGTGGTATAAACAAGAAAGACTTGTTATTTAACGCAGCTGGGACGGATAAGCTGAATTGGTTCTCATTCAACAAAATGACCTCTTCCTCTTGGTCTGACATCTCATCGGAACCCAGAAACTACTTTACAATTCAGGGTGATTGTCACACTGACGATGGGCTATGTCGTAGTTTTTTCATCAGCAGAAGCTACGATGGTTGTGGAAGTGATTTGGGATGGCTTGCAGGGTCAACCTCAGGCAAATGGTGTTCTTGGGAAAACAGTGCTACTCACAAATTTAACGTCCTGTACAGCAAGCTGTCCACTTACACCAACTGGAACACAGCTGGTGAGTTTTTTTCTTGTATAAAAAGACGATAGTCAACTTACGAAACAAGACGGGAGAAGTAAGAAGACGGCAAACCTTGTGTGACAAGCTTGACAACAATTTTGTTTGAAAACTTTAATTCCCGCCAAATTTCACCCTATAATTAAAGAGATCTTCTTCTAAAAGACTAGAAAACATTAATGTTCATTGAAGATCACGACAAATCAGGGAAGCAATAGCCCGTCAGGTTTGTCGCACACACAAGCGTTTATAGCAGCTGTCTTCTTTTTGCTGTCCTGTTGCGTAAACTCACTTATGTCCCTGACGTTGACGTCGAAAATAATTCACTGGCATAAGACTGTTATCCACTTAGAACGATAACCATTACTGACAACCACGCGCTAAATAAATCAGCTCTCTCGAGTCTACTCATAGATGTGTCCCAGTTTACGACATCACGCATTGAATTCCCCTACTCTGAGTCGTTAAAGTCGTCTCTTGAATGCATCTGAGCAACGCACTTAGGCGAGACTTGGGAAATGGCTGAAACGAAAGTGCGGGACGCCATCAAGGGGAAGCTCAACATTGAAGTTGACATAGATCGCGCTCACTGTGTTGAGCGTAGAAAGTCTGAAGGAATCAATGAACACCAAGCTGGTGCAAAGCCTAGAGTTATTGTGTGCCGACTAGTAGTTAGCGCTGTAGTAAAAAAGGCACGAAAGGAAAAACCAGAGGAATTGTTTATTTGTGAAGATCTTTCGCAAGCGACGCTTGAAAAGAGGAAACCTCATTTGGAGAAGCTTAAGACGGCCAAGCAGGCAGGAAAATCAGCATATTTTAACTTAGATCGCTTACAGCAATCACATACACGTACATAATGCATGTTGCAAGGAAAGTATCCATAAATCAAGTTTTTGCCTTATGGACACTTTATTATAGCTTTATCTTACGTAAGGGTCTGCCCATCGACCTAGCTACCCATCAAGCCTCAGAAGAATAACTACGCTTCAAAAACTAGGGTTGTAAGAACTATGTCGAGGAGCGCTTTTGAAGCTCTCACTGGCCCTTTATTTAAACATTTATAGGAATTCTGAATCTTGAGATTAGCTTTAAACTTCAAATAGGAAAATTTATTTATCAATACAAATCCGGCTTATTTCCTTGTAGCTTCAATAATATGTTTTTCATGACACGCCAGGTGCATTCTCTATATGGCACCAGAATTTCGGAGCTTTTCACTGTACCACATTGCAGGACTAATATAAGAAAGTTCTCCATCAGTTTCCAAAGTCCCAATTAGTTTTGAAATTCGATTGAAATGCAACAAGTAGTACCGCTTCCTTTTGCTGTAAGCTGAAAGCAGTCCTACTTAACATAAATATTCATTTATTGTTTTCTTTACCTCTGCTTTTCATTTTCATTTTTTTCCTCACTTTTTTCCTTTCGCAAGCTTTTTTTAGCCTAACTATGACTTATGCGATTATTTAATATATTTTAAGATTTACTGTAGCTCTGTCATTGATTTTTGCATGGATAATTCTGCTGTTCATTTTTTGTTGTAATAATTTAACTGAGGGAGCCCATTTCTTATAAGCCCACTAGTTTCCGACTGGAGAACGACTGGAGAACTGACAATTTGACTAACAATAGACGACTGTTTAACTGTGACAATAGACGGATCATAACGCACCAATTACTGATTACGAGTCTTCATAGCCAGTAACATCACGGCTAAACTAATAGATGAGCAATAACGTCGCGACGTAATTGACCAATCAGATCAATAACCAGAGCATAATACCGTCAACTGACCTGATACAACTCACTTTGACTCTGAAGATGACTACCGCACAGGTTGTCGAAACGTCAGTCACTGTCCTATTCAGGACTATACGTTCACCCGGACGATCAAACTCAAAGTACTTTTCCAGTGGTTTCCCTTGGGCTTCCTCCCCATTAGCTTTTTAAATATTTAGATTTTCTTCTTTTTGTACATCTTATGCAAAGCAATACACTGAACTGAACCAAACGAGTCTGTCTTATTTACCGTTTTTATTCTTCGCGAAGCTTCGGAGGCCGAGGTTTATAATTTTGTGGCGTGGGTCAAGAATTAACGTGCGTAGATCGCACAGCGAGACAGAAACACGCGTAGGCTAAAAGGTTGGTTACATATATATATATCTGGGTTGGTGTCTGCAATGACGTCATTAAGTGACAAACTTGGTGCGTTGGTTTTGAGCTTTTTTAAGGTCGCTTTGGCTTTGCTTTTGGCGATGAATTCTAAGGGCAGAATTAAGTACTTTACGGAGAACATTGAAGCATGACTTTTGTTTTTACTTTGTTTAAACAGCAAATGTTGGAGTGGCTGACGTACTTGCAGTTTTGCTGAAATAAGGTACTTTACATAACATAGAGCAGCCTGAATTGTCAACTCATTGAGGACTTTCAGCTTAGGTTAACTTTGAAGAGTACGAGCCAGTGAAGTCGTCGTAATAACGCTCGGATTTTGCTGTTGCTTTAACAAAGAAATGTTCACAAAGCAAATAACATTGATCAAATAATAAAATTAACAAGCTCTCTTTTGATGAAAACCTTTGCAGGCTTCAGGTATACTATTAACCGTTGGTTAGAAAGTACAGGCGAACATATGGGTTTACCTTAGAGATGTGATGGATGAAAACCAAGAGACAGTTCTCTTTTGATGAAAACCGCTTTCATAATTGCGCACGCGAATCCGAGAAAGCCCTTTTAGTTCCAGGAATCGCGGATTGAACAACACAGTAAACAAGACTCATATTTAATTAAACGATTTTATTCACAGTTGCTTAGATACAATAAGCTGGCGAATGGTGGGCCGGGAGAAGAGACAGCTTTATTGGCTGGCAAAGACACATTGAAACAGTAATGCGTGACACAAGTAATGCGTGTATACAGTAATGACTGCACGAAGTCTTATTATTCAATCGAAGGCTCAATCCGTGTTCAATGACTAAAGACCGTTGATATGCAATAGACAATAAGGAAACAGCTAAGTTTACCACTGGAGTTTAAAGCTTATTGAAACTTTCGGGAGACAAGCGACGTAACCTGCATGGAACGTGTAAAACTACGACAACCATGCACTGTAGTGAAACCTGAATAAACTTAATTTACATCGATTTCTACACTTTGCTAACACTCATATCTTACCGAAAACTTGTCCCAAACAAAGCTGAGATTCCCGGCCGGGAAGGCGAATCAAAAAGTTGCACATTTGACAGAGCTTGAGTACCCGAATTACGTTTGCTTGCGAATCGAATTATTATAAAAATGGTTGTTGCATCACAACAAACATCAGACGGACCTTAAACTCAACACCAGGTCCTTTGCAGCCACATGCCATGCATATTAGTTGGTACAACACGGACATCCCAAGAATGAGGACAGATTCGGGGAAAACCTCGTTATACAGCTCATGGAGTACCGCTGACCAAGATAAGTCTGGGGGCTCATCTTGTCCCCCGCAATGAAAGAATAGGGATTTCACTGGTTGAAGTATGTGAAAGGGTAGGGAAATCAGTCATGTCGGTCGGTAAAAAGGCCAAAAAGTGTTATCAGATGCATTTTATTGCTGCGTGAAAGTAAAGAAGAAGTTCTAGTTTTGTGATTTATTCATATTCAAAAGACAGTGCATTTAAAGCAGTTAAAAGGGTTTAAAAGTAGGTAAGTGAAAGGGGTACCATTTTGTATACCTTCCATTGACAAATTTTGTCAATGGAAGGTATACAAAAGGGATACCTCTTTTGTCAAAAATGGTATATAAAAGGGGAAGGGGTTGGACCTCAGGGCGGAGCCTCCTCATATAAAACTTTGTTGTGTACCCTTCCCCGCATCCCGGAGACAAGTAAGCTTAGTTAAAAAGTTTTTACTTGGCGCAGATAAGCCCCTCACAAGTGCTTCTTTTCACATCCTCGGAGACCCAGGCGCAGATAGTGGGTGCGAGGGAAAGTCTAAACGGGAGGGAAAATATGGCACGAAGAAAAGTAAACAACGGCGAGTAGAGCCCCTGGGGACAATGTCTTACCAGACCAGTTCCAAACGGTCGCCGCCATCCTGGCTCCTGATTGGTGCCAGAAAACTTTTGTGTTTTTTCCGCCCAATCAGAAGCCAGAACGGCGGCGACCGTTTGGAACTGGTCTGATAAGACATTGTCCCCAGGGGCTTTTCTCGCCGTTCTTTACTTTTCTTCGTGCCATATTTTTCATCCCGTTTAGACTTTCTCTCGCCCGCACTATCTGCCCCTGGGTCTCCGAGGATGTTCTTTTCAATGCTTGCATTCATTCTTTGATTTCCCCTAACTTTAATTATTTTCATCTTTTCAGGCAAAGAACATGAGCTCACAGGAGGATTTTACAAAGGAATGAAGAGTTGCAGCAAGTTTATGTTGATATTCTATTGATATCTACATGGTCCTTACTAGTTGTAACAAGAACATAAAAGGGAGAGATAAAAGGAATAGAGGATGGAATAAAAGTAGCAATAAAGATAGATCAAATGTTGAAATGAATTACAAATCAGTGTTTGCATGCTTTCAGAGGTAAAATTGAAAACAAGGTATATCTTGGTATTAAAGAGACAACCCCCAAAGTATGGTGAAGTAACTCATGGCCCCAAATAAATCCCAAAAGTAGCAACTCCCCACAGTGAAGTATGGAGCCCACTCCCAACGCCCTGAAAATAGCGTCGGCTCTCTCACCCGAACTGAAATACGTGACAGTACTACAGGCTGCAGTACAAGTTGACAGCTATTTTAGAAAATTATTCTTGGTTTCCTATTCAATTCGATGCAAAAGCAATCCTGGATATAGCTGATTCATCAAAGCTTTAGGTAATAGTTTTAAGTTTCTTAGGCGGTTTCCATTATTGTTAATCGTCTTACTTGGCCTTGGGGGCTCTTGTAGTGGCTTTAAAAAAAATAGACAAAACTTAAAATGGCATTTAAAACAAAAGTTAAAGCAATGATTTGGCCTTTTTTAACATCAGAATCAACGCCTTACAGCTGTTGGTTATGTTTAGTAAGTAAAGGATTAAGTTTTCCTAAAGGTATGTTCACACTTATAGCTTTTGCGGCGGCACGAAAATCATACTGGATAGGATACAAGTGATCTCCATCCCCAAACCAGGGGAGGAGGCGTCTACAGAGTGACTTGGCGCATTTATCGCAATAATTAACACCTTCGGAAGCCTATCTAAGGCTTCTGACACCTTTGACGATTTCCAAGTTTTGACAAAGATGGCTGACAGTCATCGAAACTGTCAGCAGTATTAAGACTTTAAGATTTTGGCTATGTTTTGAGAACATTTAAAGAGATATTAACTGTACTAGCCTGATGAATTTCTTCAAGAACATACTGGGTAGGGCTTCTCTTCACGCACACAAGAACGGTGAAAGTTTTGGGGCGATTTCTGTAACGTTTTGTGACCAGAAAACGGCTCGGCGACTAGGTCAGGCAAAAGGTCCATGCGTTTGAGCGTTTTTACAGCAGGTTACAATGGCTTAGGTAACATTCAATGGCACCTAATTTGTGACGTAAGGCCATGAAAAAAGGGACTTGGGGACAAAAATGGAGGCACTTTACAGTGGCGAATTTAGTCAGATCTTAGAAGTATTAAAGTGAGGGCCCCTCTTATTCCTCGGCGGTCCCTTATAGGAAGACCCGGCCTTGAAAATTGTTTTTCTTGGCCCTGCGGACCTCAGTTCGGCCTATGAATACAAGGGAAGCCGAACCCTCCAGGCTATGGATAGAATAAACGATAAGAAGAAGTTAGTTTGAATAAAAAACACGTAATCGTCTTTCCTGGCAGAAATGCCTTTAAAAATTTATTTTACTTTGCTAGTGGAGACGGGGACTTGACATAACCAAGCTACACTCAAAGAAGGCATTTGATCAGTTATCGCACATCAGTAAATCCAACTAGTGGTCTATTATCAATGCAGCGTTCTGATTGGTTGAGCTACTACTAGGCTGTATGTTATAGCCCTCGAGAAGCGAAAAGCGCTGGCTTTGAAAACCGAAGCAACGGCGGCTAAATCGCGTTTTGCTAGCTAAAGTTGTTTTGTCTCGATATTTTTGACCGACTAGTTGGATTTTACTAATTAAAACAATTATTCCTCTCGCCATCGTGGAGTATTGACTCAGAGACCATTCGGGCTCGAGGAATAATTGTTAATTATAGCACTCACGGGTGATCATACAATAATTTACTTATCAAATTAGAAATTTAAACTTATAGTCGGTCTTCCGTGCGTAGCGCTAATATTTTTGTCTTTCAACTTGTAAATAATCCTTTCTTTCTTTTTAATTAACGCCTTACTGTTAATTTGAAATGAGCATCGTATCAGTAACGTTGGCACTGACTAAACACCTGATTAAATACAGCTGAATAAATCGGCTTTAATCATTCTAAGAAATAGTTTTTATTATTTGCGGTCATTTGCAGTTGAGAAGAGGAACTGAAAACATGAAAATGTTGACCTCTTATCGCATCTTAAGCCTCGCTTGGTTTGCTGTAACTGTTCTCGGCCAAGACTGCATACATGGGACTCTTGATTGTGACCAGCCTGTACCTACAATTTTCAAACTGGGCGACCCCTCATGCGCCTGTAATAGGCCAGAGCATGCTGGAGCATTGAAGTACGACAGCGGTAAAGTTCATGTGTGTTTGGGCAACGAATGGAAAGTTATACGGTTTGAGGAAAGCTACGGCTCAGTAACTAACCTTGGATAAAACTTTGTTGTGTACCCTCCCCCACATCCCGGAGACAAGTAAGCTTAGTTAAAAAGTTTTTACTTGGCGCAGATAAGCCCCTCAAAAGTGTTTCTTTTCATTGTTTGCATTCATTCTTTGATTTCCCTTAACTTTAATTTTTTTCATCTTTTCAGGCAAAGAACATAAGCTCACAGGAGGATTTTACAAAGGATTGAAGAGTTGCAGCAAGTTTATGTTGCAATTCTATTGATATCTACATGGTCCTTAATAGCTGTAACCAGAACATGAAAGGGAGAGATAAAAGGAATAGAGGATAGAATAAAAGTAGCAATAAAGGTAGATCGAATGCTGAAATGAATTACAAATCAGTGTTTGCATGCTTTCAGAGGTAAAATTGAAAACGAGGTACATCTTGGTATTAAAGTGACAACCCCCAAAGTAAGGTGAAGAAGCTCATGGCCCCAAATAAACCCCAAAAGTCGCACCTCCCCAGAGTGAAGTATGGAGCCCACTCCCAACGCCCTGAAAATAGCAAGACTATCAGTACTGGTTTTGTATTATTTTGCCAATCAATAGTCAGGTGAAAGTGAGATACTGTAATCATGATAAGGCACTTTAGGCCATCCCAATAAAATGTTGCATTTCCCATTGCCTGACTGACCCATTTTTTTCAAAAAGTAAAAAAAAAAAAAAAAATTCCAGATTCACTAGCCAAAGAAGCAAGTACTTTAATTTACAAGCACACGATCTTGTTTTATTTAACAATTGGTATGATAGGATGTCCTTGTCTTTAATTTTTTTAAAGGCTGTTATTTGATAGTTGAAAAGACCACGTTTTCGAGTTGAATTTGTAACCAGGCTTTCTTACTTAGCAGCCCGGCTTTCTCTGGAGCCCAGAACCCTTCAAGTGTTCATTCTTTTTTTTTTTTTGCCCGACCGACTGACCCACCATCCCAAGAGGTGGGGCGATGGGAAACGAAACATTTTATTGCGATAGCCTTACAAAGAAAAAAAAAAGGATTACAAAATTTCCATTCATGTGTCTGTCCAAGTCAAACTCCACCATGTTTGGCCTAAACATTAGGTGCAGAATCATTTGCGGACTACACGTTAGTGTCAGTTGTGATCTCTGTCAACAACAACTTCAGAATTCAGCGCCTCAGCTAAGGCAAACTGAGGGATTTCTGATCCTCTCACTTTTAAAGTATAACAAGCAGTTTCCACTTTCTGCATACTTGTTTTTAAAACTCTAATTTTCGAAGCAAGGTCTCTGGAAACGTTACCGAACGACGTGAAAGCATCGTAGATCTCGCGAAGAAATGAACACACCTCAAAAGGGGTGTTTTTGTCCCCCTTTGCCGCACTGTTTATACAAAGGCGCATCAATTCTCCCGTCAAATCAGCTACTCCAAGGATATAGTCGAACGGGTTTAGATCCAAATCTTTTCCCCCATCACTAGAGAATTCAAAAGAAGCTTTCACCTGCTCGAACGAAATCAATGTCTTGTGTCTCAGATAATGACTGAATGACAGAGCTTCAATGTATTCTTGGACGCCTGGTGAATATGCCCGTGAGAACAAGAACGGGTCTTCGCCTTCCAACTCCGAGGCTATCGTTTTAAGGCATTCCTTGACTTCTAAAAACTTCTCATCTGCTTCTTTCAAAATCTGTTCCGGGTTTTCACAACCGGGGAACCTTTGTAAAAGGAAGATGATTCTTTTACTTGCTATGGTCACATCCCGGCTGCATTTTACTAAGCGCTCGTGTTTGTCGTGCCTTGAGTCAAGTTCTGTCTGGTGATTTTTGAATGACAAAATTATAGGGGAGTTTTCGTCAATGTTTCTCTTCGGTGGACTCATATCGTCTGCTTTGCGTTTCTCCGCACGCCTGTTTCTCTTTTCCCTCTCGACAGCCGCCATTTTGAAAACCGACTACGCAATAGATCAAGCATTCTTATTGGCTCTTATTTCTGAACCAATCAAACGAAGTCTCAGAAGTCATTTCGTGGACCTTGCAGAAAAAAATGGCGGCAGATTTGAAGGATTGTTCAAGGGCAATTTATTTGTTAGCGACAATGTAAAAGTGCATGTGTTGCGCCAATATTTAAAGAAAAGATGAGTTCGGGCAGAGCAAGGGGTAATTTTTGGCGAGGAAGAGGCCAGAGATTTCACGGACAGAAGAGAGGAAGAAATCAGCTGGGAAGAGGTGGGCTAAATAATTAACACTTATTGGATGAAAATGTTTGTAACGGAGTAGTAGCAAGTCAGCAAGACAAGGCCGCTTTGGAGCTTGACTTTGGAGCAACTTTTGGGACGTTGTAAAGAAATGAGAAATGACGGAAAGTTTTAATAATTTGCGATATTTTCCTTAAATCAGGGTGACAAAGGGGAATAAGGGGGATTTACGCCTATCAATTCTTGGTTTGCAACCACGTGACAAGGCGGCCATGTTGGGGGTCAATACAATAGAAATTTTGCCCGAAGAATTTACATGAATCCCAGAGGAGAGAAATGCTTTTGTTCTTGACCAGCAATATGGCCGCCGTGAGGTCACGTGCAAAGTAGCTATGGTTTGCAACAGGATGGGGTGGGGGGGCAATGGGGTAGTGGACAACCCACAGGAATTAAACTTACTGAAGTGCACATTGGTAGGAAATTGACATACTGAATGTCCCCAGGGTGGGAAATTTGACTCAGCCGCCATCTTGGAAGGTAGAGGACCAGGGAATGAGCGAAGAGGTCCACCATTTTAGAAAATACCCAGTAATCATTTGAATGAGTTTCCCACATTTTGATGCGTTCATCTCTTTGTGAAGGATGGCAGAATGAAAGTTAGAAGTATCTTGTTGCTTTTTAAGTTTTTGAAGTTTTATGACCAAAAGTATTTTATTCCTCGGCATTGAGAAGCAATACTTGCACAAAGTCTCATTTGAAAGTATGCTTTCTACTTACTGTGTACCATGAAAATTTTGCGGGAGTTTTATTTTGCGGATTGGTTACTTTTTGTGGTTTGCGGGAACAAATTTTGTGGTTTGAGATGACTGAAATTTCTGGTGGGAACTAATTTTTGCGATTCTCTGTTCAAGCAGCAGAATATTTAAGTGGAAGAAACCTTAATATGGTATTTTCAACTTTTACTTTACGGTATGTTGAGTCAAAGTTCACTCTACTTACATATTTAATTTGAGAATAATACAGTAATCACTGTAATATCTTACTGCACAAAGGGACTGAACAACAGCAAAACAAAACAAAAGTCTATCCCTACCATACACAACAAGTCTATTAAAAGCAGAGTTTTTAATTTGACTGAAGGGAGTTACTTTTCGCCGCGTTTTATTTTGCGGTTTTTTTTTCTGCAGGAACAAATTTTTGCGGATCGAGGTCAATCTGCAAAATTCGCAAAAATTAGGACCCGCAAAATTTTCATGCTACACAGTACTTGTTTTCACCAGAGGCTCCCCTGCCACAAATTTTTGTTATAATGAAAAGATCAAAAATTCATACTGGACCACAGTTGTAACAAACACCAGCCTTTTTATTGGTCATAACTCTTCTTGATGATGACATGTCATGTTCTGGCATTGCACATTGCTGTAAATACCGTGTGAAAAAATTCAAAGATACTTAGATTGGGAGTATAAAATGTGTGTTAAATTGCCAGCTACACTAATATCCAGCTAAAATATCTTCTACACTTAGGGATTGCATAAAGTTTGATATTGTGGGTACCATTATTTCGTCACCAAGAAAAAAATACACTCTGGAGATGCCAGTTGAGTGTTGTGAGTGTCTATATTAGTTTGGCCCAGGGATGGGAATTTGACTCAAAATGGAGACTCAAGGGTGTGGAAATTGACATTTGAAAACCTGAAAATGTCAAATTTCCGGTGGATTGCCCCCCCCCCCATCCTGGGGCAAACCATTGATAGGTGCATTAAGCTTATTTTATCATGCGTCACCTTGACTGTTTTTTTAGGCCATCACACATCATTGGGAAAAATGTTAGCCATCATGCACGTAAATGAGGTGCAAATGCAGAAGTTAACATGGCAATATCTCAACCCATTGAATGAATCAGCTCTAATATAATTTGTTTTCAGTGTAACACGCGTCAGCAGTTAATTGATTGTACAAAAGGGTGTTCAGAAATCTGGTGTTGAAAAAAAAGATATTGACCATAGAAACCAGTATTCACTGATCTGACAGGAGATCACCTCACATGGCCATTTTGGCCTGATCATGTACGTCATGCTGATAATTTGGCACCCATCACACATCACGCAAAACCTCTTTGCCACCCTGTTAAATTAGTGGCCTTGTCTTGCATGGTTTAGCTAGGGACGTATAAAAACAGTAAAATGAGTATATTGTCAAGGCTGTCACTAGGGGACAATGACGCCTTTGACGAAGACGCTTTTGTCTGGCTGCAATATGCATGACCCCCCTGGCTACTTTTATAGAATGCAAATGAAAATGGAACGTAAAGAACCCCCTAGCTGTTCAATATCTCACTTACTACTGGAATTATATCTGGCAACTTGATATCTTAGTGACAGACCTGATTGTTCTCTTTGCCACAATGCGATCCAATAAAAACAACAATATTTTATTTGCATAGATGCAGGTATTTCATAAAAGAAAAAAAAATATAAAGGATAATAGTAGAAAAATACAGCATTTCAGGTGGTGTTGGGTGGGAAGTGGGGGGTGGGGGGTGGAGGGAGGCAAGGGTTGGAGGGAGAGAGAGGTGTTTGATCCCAAGTTCCTTTTTAGCCTTTTTTTTATCAGAGTATCACTAAAATATAACCTTAGTCTTGCATATAAATGTTTGTCGTAGAGTCGCAGTGACGTTACAATAAATGCGCTGTTGCTTTTTTGGGGGAAGCCATTTCTTATAAAATTACCCTGGAGAGGGTCCCAGTCTTTCAATATCCTGTTTCACTTGCCTAAATACTGGTACCAAATTTCCTCTTCCCAGGGATTGCAAAAAAATGGTCAAGTGTACAGGGTGATTGTTCATGTAATTAATTGATCCATCCTTATTGTGGCACCAGCACAAGTTGTGCAAAGATTATATTACTCTAAATTCCTCATTTTTGGATAAAATGATCATTGTCTTAGTGAAGCAGAGAGAAATTTACTGGCTTGGAAAAGTATGGCCAAAGGAGAATTAAAAGTACAATGTTATGTAGCTAAGATTTGTACTTTCTTGAATGCTATTCTTTAAACCTGCTTTCAGGTGAAGGGGCAAATCCTCTTCCAGGCCAAGGTAGCTCTAGGCCTCAACAACAGCATCAAAGGACCAGGCAGGTGCAGACAAGCTTAACGCCCTGCCCTTTTAAAAAATGGAGTGTCTACTTCCCTGATACTGGTAAGTTAGCTGTATAGTTTAGTTTTGTTTGAAACTTTCATCATCTAAAAATCACTATGTTATAAGATTAATACTTGCATACAAAATAAATTTAGGAACATTAGTCATTTTAATGTTAAAACAATGTACATCACCCTCCATGAATTTAAAATTCAAAAGTACGTTATTAAAAAGTGAAACTCATGAGAGAAAAAGAGCTCTCTCTGTAGATAGAGCACATGTTTACAGTTTTTGTTATGTCTGTTACATACACTTGTGATTTTATCAGCTTGCTAAGACATATGGGTATGAAACTTGACCTGCATTATCGAAGTAATAGAGTGTAAATTCCTGCATGGAAGGAAAACTTTTTGATGCACAAGGTGATGCTTTTTTATCTGACTGATTACATGTAAGTTATGCTTCACCTTCATGTCATATGGCGTGCCGATGTCTTAAGCGTTGAAGAGAAAATGAAGCATGACTTTTTGCATCAACAAAAATAATTTTTGCGATACAACAGATCACACTTCACCTTTATGTTATGTAGCACGCTGATGACCACAGTTACCCTTTTTTTGCAAAATTTCATCGCTTTTCTTACTTACGGACAGACAGTCTGGACATTAACGACAATAATTGTCGATAATTATTATTGTATGACATGACTGCATAGTGTTACAGTTTCTATGGAAACTTCAAACACAAAAACTGTCCATTTAATTTGCTAGCTTACATCTAGTTTATTGTTTTGTGGCATTCCTAAACAGTACAGAATTTATGCAATGTAATTTGTTAGAAAATAATGGTCATTAAAGGTTTTTTGTGCTACTCATAAACATGCATAAGTATCCAATTTACAGTTTATAACCCAGAGTCTTCTCTTGGAACTAAAACTGAGGCCATTATGAAGTTTGTGGAAAAACATGCTGCTCAACTTAGCAAGGTACTGTAAAATGTTAACTAAATACACATTATAATAATGTTGACATTAATCGTGACGTCTAGCCTCTAGTCTTTTGAAAAGTACATCTTATGTTTGTATGCTAACAAATCACAAGACAGCCACTTTTGTCAGCAAGTCTAACTTGGGTTCTAGCAAAAATTATAGCTGATTTATTTTGCTAGAGCTTAACATAGAAGTTTTTGACTTCTACATTTATGAAGTAGTCAGACTGAAATCTGTTATAGGTGTGTCATTGTTGTGGTGATCGTGTTTTGTTCTTTGGTTCAGTTACGAACACCTTTAAAGGGAACCTCCACTTCAACAAAAAGATATCTTTAAACTAAAATCAATCTTATTTTTAAAGGTTTGTATCCGTCATTGTTGTTTTCAAATTTTGCGGTGATCTTGAATTTTGACGTTCTTTTTCCTGATTCACTTTTTTTTTAAGGACAAATTTCGAAAAAATTTGTTTATCAACATTTTTATTAAAATTATTCTGTAGATGTCTTTTTTCCCTTGTCCCTGATCCTTGATATCTTGGGTCCATGATTATTGATTACATATTGCTGTGGAAGAAACTGACCGTACATGTACATGTAAGACGTTAATTGTAACTGTCTTTTGCAAATTTCTAAATGGAGCAATAAATAATATTGTTCATGGTGGGATGCCCAAAATGCATTTGTCTGCAATAAATTTTTATTCATATTAGATTGACAATTAATTTTCAGGATGAGATTGAAAGCAGAGGTGCTGTGGTATTTGACTATACAGACCTCTTATCTGATCCAGGTAAACTGCTTTTATCTTGCATTTATCCTGCATATACAGTAGGATGATTGTAACTGTGGCCACTCTTAGGCAAATGTACCAGTTACATGTATATTACAGGAAATTACAACTGCGCAATACATTCTGAGGAATTATTATTTTTTGCTTATGAAAAAAATAAATACTCTGATAGAATACTGATTGCAAGAATTTCTTAGAAAGCAAAATTTATTGTTAGACAAGTTTTTCAATGAGATTTTAAAAAAATGAAATCTTATAAAGTCAAAAATTTAACCAATAGGACCGCTCTGGAAACATACACTGTAGGTTTTGTTCAGCAGGTTCAAAAAGTCATGTCTGTATTTGTTTTTATAATGATGATTATATTATTGGCAGTCAACTTTCTCGCGTTTGTTTGTTAGCTCTGTGATTCAAGTAGTTAATTTCATCTAGAACTCTATTTAATGGCCCCAGTCATATTAGCTGCCCTGTAAGTGTGAAAAAAGAAAGTTAAAAACACAAAACTTTGGTGGGTGACACATGCATTAAATATAGTGGGGTTACCAAAATCATTTGGAGGAGTAGTATTTTTTCCAAGGCAAGCCTATGTGAGTACATGTTTGTTATTAAAATTCAAGACATTTCTCAAACAACAGCAGCCGCAAGCCTTTTAAAATCTTTGTAATATTTTTTGATAGAGCTCATGGAGGACTTTCCATCCCTGGCAGTGGACCTCAGAGATGAGCCTACAACAGTGCTGCAGACTCTTGGTCTGGCTGTCTCTCAGGTACTGTAGAAACATGTTTTTTATTATTTTTGTTTACACATTAAAGCTAAAGCTGGGTCGAGGGGTGAGTGATCAGCTCATGCATGCATGTATAAAGTATTTTAATTTGTACAATGCAGTCTGAAATCCTGAGCCTTTCACATGTATGATTAATTGAAACATTATTTTCTGCTTCTCTTTAATACACGTACTTTGTTCATACATTTTTAGTGGCCTGTCGTTTATTGTTTCATGTTGATGAAAATATTCATTATATTAATATTAATGGCATGTATGTCTGTAAAAAATCAAAAATGTACAAATAGTTGATAAATAATGATGATAAAAATAATGATGATGATGATGATGATGATCACAATATTTTATTATTTGTAGGACTCAAATTATCTTTAAAATACATTGTTATTGTACCTACAGTGTACAACTGTATTTAGTGCAGTGTGACAGAGGCCACATACATGTTGTGCTAAGTGTGTTACTATGTATTGATTAACAATATGATCTTAACAATGATTATGCCACCCTTGTGATCAATGGTAGATTCTGCTCACTGCGGAGACAGGAGAGAGTCAGCAAGTTGCATGTCTGGTTGACTTGCCATACATACAAGCCAGGTATTTGTAGAGGTCTACATGTACATGTTAGTCTTTTGTACAATGGTGTTATTTTACTATAGTTAACTACCAGAATGCACTTCTTTGTTCTTTCGTATTTAAACTTGGTTATCCCAAGGTTTGAATAACAAAAGCCACAATTTGTACAAGAAGCAAAAAAAGAACTCTAACTGGTAGGTCAAGTAAAATGGTGTAATCCTGCGATTGGCCTATCAACATTTTTATTGCATATTTTAGTACAGCAGTATAATATGGAGTATCAGTTGTGTTCGTGAACAGAGGCAGGGGTTAATTAACATGCCCTACTTTGTATTAGAGCAGCTTGTAGACTCGCTTTGTCAATGTTTTTTGTCTCGTCTATTTTAACAAATACCATTCTCCAAACTCAGTCCTTGATTGTCTAAAACTTTGACAAAAACACTTTGTATAGCAGAGAAGTGTCTCGTAACCTGAGTCAAAACCATGATCTTACATGTAAGTTTGTTTTGTTGCAAATAATGTATTAAACTAAAGGTAAATTATCTGCTGTGATACTATTGAACTTTCTTTTGTTTTTCTTTATCAGGATAACTAACTTTGAACCAGTCACCCAACTCAAAAGCCTTAAATCTAACTATTTTGGTAGGTAAAACATACTGATGATGAAAATGTAGTCGTTATTACTCTAAGTAATATAATTATGAAAAATATATATTGAAAAATTTTCATTTTTTATTTTTCATTCTTTTTCATTCTTTTTTTCATTTTTATTTTTCATTCTTTTTCATTCTTTTTCATTTCATTTATTTCTTATTATATAAAGAAATAATTATAAATGAAATGAAAACCATAGATGTAATGTACTCTCGCTCAGTGTTATAGATAACATTAATTTTTGAATCAACAACTCTATTACTTGTTTGTTTTATTATTAATATCCACTTATGTAAATTTGTCCAGTTTGCAGAAATTGATATTTTCCTATTTGTATATTAGCATATATTAGTTCCTTTGCTGATAGAATTGATGGACTCAGTTGGTTTCAAACCGACTAGGGAGGCTGGGATGAACCCCTTTATAATGGAGTATCAACTGTAGACTCACAAGTTACAAAGAGCTCATAAAGCTTTAGGATATCCCCATTTCAGGTGATTGCCAGGCCAATATTGAACAAGATACAGCCAATAAAAATCTCCAAAATTTGATAAAAATTATAGATGTCTAGGCAATTTTCTTGGTAAGTTTTCAAGGTTTTGAATGGCTATATCTTGTTCAGTAGTAGCCTGATTAACACCAAACTTGGAAATTTGTAAAGCTTGATGTTCTCAAGATTTCTTTTTATTTGAGTCTTGAGGAATGTTCATTTACTAGATAATCCCATTAATTGTCATACATGAACTTTTGCTCCGAGTGCCTCACTTTGAAAGCAGGAAATAGGCCATTTGCACAATGGCATCATTTTACTACATTTTGTTCTATGACTGGAATCCTTTTCATTTTTCTTTTCATATCTAAATTTGGTAGAAAAGATCTCAGTGAGGTTTAAATAACAAAAGCTGCCCTAATTTGCGCAAGAAAGTGCCAAAACTCTAAAGGATTCAGGTTAAAGTAGTAAAATGACGTCGTCGTGCAAATTTGGCCTATTCTCAGACAATGTACTAATTAGTACAGTTGACTCTCTCTTTTAATTTTTGTGACCATTCTAGGTAAATTTGTGGCAATTCGTGGGACAGTGGTTAGAGTGAGTAACGTTAAACCACTAGTCACTAATATGGCATTCAGCTGTAATCTTTGTGGAGAGATGCAGGTACAGTGGTTGTGATACATTTTCAGTGAAATTTCATTTATTGGACTTTAAGAGAATGGTTATAGTAGATTTTGTTGTTGGTCAGTTCAAGTAACTTTTAAAGCTCGGTAACGTTCCAGAAAAGTAATCTTCTAACAAAGTCATTAACCAGCATGACATGCCCCAGTCAAGTAAAATGTTAGAGCTGCTTGCCTTAAATTAAAATTAGGGCAAGCTGGAATTCAAGTTTTCTTTTTAGCTTGGGATACACATGCATAGTTATAAAGATCTGTATTATTTACTATACCAAAAGTGCTTCTCCTCGACCTTATCCAACCTGTTGTGTTATGATAGTTATAGTTCACCCTGCGAAGATGTATCTTGTATTTATATGTTAATACAAACCCTTCAAATAGTTTGGATAAACTGAGCCATTGGTAATATCACAGGTGACCTTTTCCCGTATTAATTTTGTAGTTTGTATCTGAAGGTTTTTTTTTCTTTCTTTACTCAGGCAGTTTCTCTTACAGATGGAAAATATGCAGTGCCAACTAAGGTAAATTTTTCCTTTGCATACACATGAATGGAAACATTCACCTGCAAAGCCAAGGCGGTCAGGTTTTGGAAGGAGGTGCTGGGACTCTGAAACCTTAATATACCGTATTTATTCGATTAAGCGCCCTGGGCGCTTATTAAATTTTTGGACCTTGAGAGTGGGTGCTTATTCGAGGTGGGCGCTTATTCGAGGCTGGGCTCTTATTAAATTTTCAGCATTTTCATCAAGTGTAGTATGTTTATTTTGCAACAAAACAATACATGCAATAACAAAAGTCGATGTAACAAGGCAAGGTTCCTGTAAATACTTTGAAGAAAACTCCGTCTTCGGGGAAGTCTCTCTTATTAGTACTTATTCAATTTTTTGGGGTGGGGTGGGGGTGGTCGCTTACTTGAGGTTGAGTGGGAGTGGGAGGGAGGTGGGGTGGGGTGGGCGCTTATTAACTTTTTCTGTCTTTCGGATGGGCGCTTATTCGAGGTGGGCGCTAATTCGAGGTTGGGCGCTTATTCAAATAAATACGGTAATTTACTAGTCTACCAAGGTTTTCTTGCATTCAGAAAACTTGCATTATTTGCTTAAACTCACGTTCTATATAGTTTAGTTTTTTTTATTTGCACATTTTACCAGCTTGTTCACAGGCTAGTTAATTCTTCTGCACCACTTTTTTCACAAGGTCATAGTCAGTACAGATAACATGTAAATCTTATAAGTAATGCAGGCTACTTTTTACCGTTATAATGTAACATTGTACAGTCTAGAGAAAGAGAGCTCTAGGTCAGAGTTTTTAAATAGTATTAGAAAATAAAAATCATTATCGATGTCATTTGCAAATGATTGTTAATATTTTTTCTTATTGAAAACGGTATTTCAACTTATTCAGACAGAACTATGCTCTTTTATTGGTTAAACAGTGTTCATCTGTGGATTGCCGCGGGAGATCCTTTACTCCTGAAAGAAGTTCTCCATTGACCAAAACTATTGACTGGCAAACTGTCAGGTAAAACATTTGACAAAAAGATGTTTAAAAACTACATGAACTGGTAAAAAATGATAGTCTGTGTACTAGGCATGCACCCAACTTTTGCTCTTGGGTGACTAGACAATCTTAGTTTGTTTCATACAAATCATAGAACACTAGGATCCCTTCAATTTTCCTTAGAGCACAGCCTTGATTAGGTCAGTCTTTTTGGGTGAGGTATCTATTGTCATAGTTTTTCTGAGGGAGGGGGGTCGTCTGTACACAGGCTACTATTGTCACTGGTCACTATAAATTATGATGATGTTATTAAGGTTGCATTTAGGTTTCACTGGTTAAGTCCTTTAACCGATATTAGTTCAGGAAACGTAATGAGAGCCCTTTAAAATGGTGCATTCATCTCCATCTTTTGGTGAATTTCATTGACTGTTAAGACTGTGATCTCCCTCCTTCCTGCCCTGGTTCAAAACTTGTCTTTCCTTCTTCAGAAATCTGGGTCCAGGACTTTCACTGTTTGGGAATTCATAGTATCCAAATTTCTGTTGAAACTTACTTGTAACTGAAAGGGTTCAGTTTGTCTGGGAAAGTCTGCTTGGAATTTGCTTGGTTTTAAATCGGACCTATAGTTACAATGGAAAGCATCCAAAGAATGTTTTTGGCAGTGGATTTCATCCAGTAAGTTAGAATCTTGAGATGTTACATGTGTCACTACTAAACCCACAGATGAGAGTACAAACGTTGGTGCAATTTTTCTGTAGTTGCCAAATCTAGGGTACCTGTAAGTTGTAGTGTGACATTAAAGAAGTAAGTACATATATGATAAAGAGTTACAAAATGATCTTGTTATTCTTTCAGTAATGACATTTACAATCTGTTTCTCCCTTTTACAGAGTTCAGGAGATTATGGATGATGATCAAAGAGAATCTGGAAGAATTCCAAGAACTGTGGAGTGTGAGCTGACAGCTGATTTAGGTAGAGTTATGACTTAAAAACGTAAAAATTCAACTTCCTATTATCCCCATAGTTATGTCCCTTACATTATTTTTTCCTCTCTCTCCCAAAACTCCTGGGATCCCTTGTAAGTTATTAAAAAACTAGTAATAACCAAAGGTTACGCAGTAAGGGCGTCAACAATGGAAGGTCAAAACGCTTTTGTTCCAACGCTGTGCGCAAGTTTCACTTGATGGATGGTCAAAGCACGGGTGATCAGATTACGAATGATAGAAGTTCCAAACTTGAGTGATCAAATTGCGTTCTGTGCATTCTATTCATTCTTTGAGGAAGTCCAAACGAGGTAAGCACTTGTTTCCATATCTCAAACCGCCCTCTCCCTTTTCACTTACACTTAAATGAAATATGGAAACTAGCGGTTACCTCCAAACGAACGCTGGCTACGTCAGTGCAGCGCATGCGTAATAACACCTGGAGATTAGGATTGCGGGCTCTTCTTGACACCCACAATAAGAACTCCTGTTAATAGTGGATTGTTTGTGACTGGTAATTTCCACACCATCTTTTCACATTTGAAGTGACAAATATATTCTAAGATTACAGCACAGCAATGTAAATTGTGTCCTATTCACATACTTGTAAAGGGTAAGCTAACTGTTTTGCCTTTATCCATTCAGGGCCGGGTTGTTCAAAGATGGGTTAAGATAACCCACGTTTAGTCTGAAATTTGAATTTACATATGAAAGCTTAAAAGCAAATTCAGTTACCTTCTCTCTTGTCGAAATAGAATAAAGAAAATCATTGGAGAAAATGCTTTTGAACTAAAGAAATAAGAAACCCGGATTAAAATTTAACCCCGTTTTAGCGCTAATCGGCATTCGAACAACTGGGTCCTCAGGATTCTAAACCATGTTTTGTGCTTTTAAGAATTTAAATATTATTTCATTATTTTGTGTCAGACATTTGCTATCAGGTTTTATGCTGATATGCTGCTGAGGGTGACCAGCGCTTTTTTTCGTTGTTTATCATTTTATTTCTTTTAGTGGATAGCTGTGTGCCAGGTGATATGGTCACCATTACAGGTGTTGCCAAGGTTACAACCTCAGAGGAAAGTAAGAAAATTAATGTGTAGTTCCAGAAAATATCCATACCCCCCCTCAACGCAGGGCACTTTTATCTTAGACCCCCACCCCCTTAAAATTTCCGTGATTTTCCATCTTGGTTGGGGACCTCCTGGGAAGACTATTTCTGCCAAAAAGCTGTTGCACTATACTACAATGCGCTAATGTAATTGTTGCTGAGATAAGGTGAGAAAAAATTGTCAATTTTGCTCCGTAGAGTTCTTTCTTGTGTGTTATGTGGGATTAAAAAATAGTCAATAATCTAAACCAGTGAAATCCAGGGTGCCCTGCATATGATTGCAAAAAGTAAGACTTTCGCGTCTCTTTAGGCAAAAGTAAGGCACCAGGGCCCACCATGTGCCGCCAGAGCAAAACCCTAACCTGGAGGGGACTACTGAGGTCCTTCGTCCCATCCTCTCTTTACCATAATTGGGATATGTGTGTACATTCTAACCTCTCCTTACGGACACCTCTCTATTACGGACAGTTCGTTTGGTCCCAGAAATGCGAATAATCATACATTCCCTACCTCTATAATACGGACACCTCTGTAAAGCGGACACTTGGTTCTGTCCCTTTGGTGTCCGTATTTTAAAAAGAGGTTTGACTGTATATGTGTGGCCCCGGTTGTTCAAACATTGAATAGCATTATCTAGTGGATAAGTATCAGGGATATCATAGAGATTAATTTTATCCAGTATACAGTGTAGATCCACCTTTTCAACTACTGGAGCGTGAGGGTTAAAGATTTCACTGACAATTCTTGACAAAACTCTCTACCTGTTTAGATCGCAACAGAAACAACAAAGACAAGTGTATGTTTCTCTTATACATACATGCTAACGCCGTGAATAACAACAAAGGGAATACCAGTAGTGGAGAGCAGACTAGCGGACTGTCCATGGAATTCTCTATCAAGGTACATGTTCTGTGTGGTTCGCAATAAACATTTTCTGCTGCCTCGTACCCAGACGTCTCTCTCTCGATGAAAATGTGCGCGCAAAGGAAGGCGGGAAGGAGACGTCTGCACCCTTCCCATGGTTCCTTGCAGTTCATCACCAGTCGCTCGCCTCTACCATTAACCGCCTCGAAAAACGAAGCGCCTGAGGAGGAGGCTACATTTAGGAGCTAGCATTTAGGCCTACATTGGGGAGCTTTCAAACAACCCTCGCTTATTGGAAGTGCACGTTTTGTGTTATCTGACAGTGGTTTTGCCCTAACCTTCGGGCAAATCGTGTCTATAAGTGTAAAGCAACTTGACAATATAAATTTAGTGGTGTCAAGGCATATCAAAAGGGAAAGAGCCTCACTTCCGGTGTTGATGTGTGTCGCTCAAAAACGTGTTTCCTTAGGCTCCGTAATAAGGAAAAGGCAAAACTTTCGTTTCTTTGCAGTTGTTACTACAATAATGGTACGAACCAACGTACAGTCATTAGTGGACCAAATTATGGCCTTTTTTCATGATAAAAGAGCTTCCTGTACCAACACTGTAAACTGCTACTGGGCACAAACTTGGTCATTATACAGGTCATAATGTACCTACATTTCCAGTGTTGGTAACCAAGATTCAAAGGTCGGATGGAAGTGCAAGGATTAATTAGTCAGTGAGTGCGCGGCCTTGTGTGCGAACGGTTCCGAGTTCGATTCCCAAGTGCCACTACAAATTCATCTTTCGACTTCTTACCTTTCCGTGTAGCTTTAAGTAGCTTTAAGAAACCGTACAATGTAGCACTGATTCTGACGGAGAGGGGGATGGGGGGTTGTAAAATGAGCGCTCCGTCGGCCTCTGGTTTTGTCAATTTAAGTTGTTACGAGAAACCAACCTAAAATAAGGATCTTGACGCCGTTTTTATTTTACCTGAGAGTAGAGTTACATGTGAAGTGGCAATAATCATCCTGTGTAATTTCCGTGGGTAGGAACTGTATGCCATTCAAGAAATTCAGGCTCAGGACAACTTGTTTCGTCTTATTGTTGGGTGAGTGATACTAATATCAAATTATAGTGGTTTTGTCACCCTTCGTGCAAGATTCATTTTATAATCTCTCAAACCCTTCCTATCCAATTGCTTTGCAGATCACTTTGTCCTTCCATTTATGGACACGAGGTAACCCTACCTTTTTGAATTTTATTCCTGCAACCGAAAATGTTTTAAAATGTTTTAAATATGCACAATGACTATTAATTTTGCTTCCTGTTAGCTGGTGAAAGCAGGATTGGTGTTAGGTCTCTTTGGGGGAACTCAGCGATACTTGAATGACAAGGTAACTATAAGCCATATTGCAATATGTTGCTGACATCATCAACAACAGTCTTACTGGATATGCCCAAAGACAATTTTTTTTACAACGAGTATAACGCCAGGGAGGGTGACAATTATCAGGTAGCCAGAATTGTAAACTACGCTATTCTTATAAAACAGATGCAGGGCAGTAAAACATCATCTGCGAAACGATTACCCGACGTACACATGTTGCTAATTACAGACCCTTTAATTTTTATTGGGTCAATCAATAGTTGTGGGATAAAGGACTACAATAGAGTTTTGTACAATCACGAGTTCTTTGTGGTTTGGGTCTTTACTGGCCAGTGTACAGTGTTAAGAAAATAGTTTGAAACTGTTTGCGCGCGCCACAATGGCCAAAAATTAGCGCAATTGGAATGGTGCAATAAGTGTGCTACGATTTGAAATGAAGATATACAAGATATGATGACACTGCTGGATATACTTGCTGAAAATCATCCTGGCAAACAGAAATCCAGATTGCGCCAGAATAGTGACAGGACACCCAAGGAACCACAGGGGGCCCTGGGGGCTCACAGCAAAAGGAAGTAGAACCTGCTGTTGGCGATGTGGTCCTCACTTTATTCGTTTAAGGAAGAAATCCTAACTATAGGCCTTTGATTGGGAAAAATATTGTTTTTGCAAGGTCGTTGGTTTTGAGAGTTTGTCACACGGAGATTTGACTGCTTTTACATACACCTCCTAAGTCTTGTCTGCCGCTTCTTCTGTTCCACAGAATCGCATTCCAGTCAGAGGGAATCCACACATTCTGGTTGTTGGTGACCCAGGTCTTGGAAAAAGCCAGGTAAACTCATTTGTAAAACATTCTTTTTGTGCATTGTTATAGGTAACTGTTGTGTAATGGACGTACTTTTGAACGCCTGTTTTTTTTTGTAGATGCTACAAGCGGTATCTAATGTTGCTCCTAGAGGTGTCTACGTTTGTGGAAATGCGACTTCAACTTCTGGACTCACGGTAATAATAAGCAATTGTCATATCATTTTCCAATGTAAACAAACCTCTTCGCATTGAAATAACGGTCGAATCTCTTATAGCGACCACTTCTCGTAAGCGAAGTTGCTGTAATTATATGTTTTGTGTCTCAGTCAAATACTGAGTGTTTCAAAAAATCTCTAGTAGTCGATAACTACTTCCTTGGCTAGATATTTGACACGTTTTGTTTTCCGTTTCCGCGTCAGTGACCACCAGGCACGATCTAAAGAAAACCATTACTCCAATGTCGCCAAAGTTCAATTTTTAATACGTCTGATCCGGCTTGCTTACAGATAATAACAACTGAATTTACAAAACAAAGAGGTAGTAATATGATCTATAGGTAATTACATGCGGATTTTTACAGTGATCTGTACCAAAATGTAACGTACAAGATTTCAGCAGTACGTGGTGTGGTCAGAAATGCAAAAGAATTCCTACTTTCAAACGAGACCAGAAAGGTTCATTTATATACATATGAAAGAGTAAATAAATAGGCCGCCATTATGACAGTGGTCTTTATGTCGCAGGTGACTCTTTCTAAAGAGGGTTCATCCGGGGATTACTCTTTAGAGGCAGGAGCACTTGTTTTGGGAGACCAAGGTAGGTTTATAACTGCTCAATTATTTCGCTCGTCCTTAAAGTTTTCATTTCCCTTCACTGCCACTACTACATTTCTATTGTTTTCCGCCCTGCACCACCAGCACCGTTAATTAACCGAGACATTTATCGACACAAAAATAACTAAATAATCTGTCAAACCGGTTAAACAACTTAAATATAGTAAATATCCTTATCTTAATGGGAGTCCCCTGCATTTTATTCATGAGATAAGTACAAAAAGCTATGACGTCATCGGCGTTAATAGGGACTTTAAGGGCCTGTTTACATGGGGGACCCCAGGTAGGTGAGGTAACCTTCTTAGGTGGGGTAACCCGCCTGTCCATATAATCTCTCATTTTAATTTGATCACGTTCATATGATAGGTGTGGTGACCATATGAGAGATTATATGGACAGGCGGGTTACCCCACCAAAGCGGGTTTCCTCACCTACCTGGGGTCCCCCACCTCCACGTAAACTGGTCCTAAGATCCGACGCCGAGACGGCAACGAGAACGTCAAAAAAAATCATTAGGTTTAAAAAGCGAAACAAAACCTTTGCTCGTGCATCACGCTTTTTTGTAAATTTCGTTTCCGTCTTTGCACGACTACGCCTTGAAAATGCCTAATTAAACGTTTAATTGGGGACGAAAACAAGCGACGACGAAATTTTATTTCTCATTAGGGCCGTTTATACGAGAGAAAATAAGCCGCGGCTTACTCTGGGCGCGGCTTACATAAGACGAGAAAGGAACCATTTATACGAGTACGGCTTATATTAGACGCAAACTGCTCGTATGAATGGTTCACGGCTTAGTTCGCGGCCAGGTTGTACATTTAATAAGTGTAGATTTAAAATTTAAATCGGCAAACTTACGCTTGCCTAGGTAGCACAGACATCGAGCTGCCCCGCAATCTCAAGCTCGCTGCATATGAGCAGGATTTGTTTTTCTTTTGGGGCATTCACACATTTCTTTTTTTACATGAATCTCTATCCGCCATTTTCCACGGTGTAAATGTAAACAAAACACATTTTCCCGCCACTGCAACGCGCGTCTCTCGGCCGTGAAGGTCTGGGATATAATTGAAAACGGAGCATGCGCAGCAGTCGTTCACGGCTTCAGCAAGCCGCGAACAACGTTTGAGTGCATTTATACGAGCGTTTTCACGTCCAAGGTAAGCCGCGGCTTGGATAAGCCCATCACAAAAGCCCTCGGCCAGGATAAGCCGCGGCTTGAGCTGGCCTTGGGTTGAATAAGCCGTGAACATAGATTTTGTACCATTTATACGCGGTGTTCGCGTCTTATGTAAGACGCGGATATAGTAAGCCGCGGCTTATTTTCTCTCGTATAAACGGCCCTATTGTGCACTTGGGCATGGTTCTTAGGAATTTTAACTGTAGGAGGGTTCGCCTACATTTGACAAAGTAAGTGGGTAGGAATAGTCACGATGAAGGCTAGAAGGACGCAAATTCACCTTTTTAGCAAATTCACCTTTTTTCTGCCGTCGCGTCTTCGGATCTTTAAGTCCCTACTTTATTCCTGCGCAGGTTAATGAGATTCCTACGCAAAGAAGGTTTGGTTCGGTCCCTGTTATACAGAAAAAATACTACTTAACATTGACTGCAATCTGAAGCCAAAGCTAAACCAACGAATCTCCGTCCACGTCTTGTTGCATCTGTGTATAGCTGGAACCCACCATTGTAGCCAGCAGAGAGTCCACATTACCTTTGTACATGCAAAAGTAGACTAAAGGTGATGTTGCATGGGACGATTTGCAACGACGATTTTAAGCGCAACGCAACGTTGCAACATTGTTGTAGCATTGTTTCGAATGGCTGAAACATTAGTCCAACATTGCAACGCTGTGTTCCGCTAAAAATCGTCGTCACAAATCCTCCCGTGTAACATCACTTTAAGGGTGTACTAATAGTTTTGGATCTGATGTTTTCTTGTCAATGAACTGTCACTGGCTTGAATTTCTCTCGCATTAAAGGATCTATTCACATGTGAACATTTTTAATGATATTCTGTGCATAGCTTTCATTACAAGCTACTAACCTGAATTTATCAATATCCGACTTCATTTGCTTTTCAGGGTGTTGTTGTATTGACGAGTTTGACAAAATGGGAAGTCAACATCAAGCTTTGTTGGAAGCAATGGTAAGATTGTTTGAACTAAACTTTAATTTTTCTCTTTCTCTTTTTACAAAGCTTCGACACTTGGACAGGATTTTGATAAGATTTCCGTGTATTTTCGTCGTATCGGTGACCTTATCGTGCTCTTGCTATAGTTATCAATGGTCGCCTCTTTTCATAACACTATAGAGTAACGATTTTCCTCCACTTCTTTCTCTTTCTCAACACAAAGCACACTATGAAGATTCTAGAGGAAGGTGTGCAGTTGTACATACAGCACTCTAGGAGTCCCTCCGTACTGTGCTAAATTGCTAGAGCGCACAAAAGGTCGGGTTCGTTTTCCAGCGCTGATACAAAAGGGTTCGTGCGGGTCATGTAAAACGTGGAAAGTCATTGACTTAAGACTTTCATTTTCCAGGCCTGAAAGTAATGGAATATAATTGTCGGACCTTGAACGTCATGGAAAATTAAAGTTTTGTTTGGTAGATTAGTTACTGCAGATGACAAAGCAAGGGCAATGTACGATAGACGGTGGACACCTGAGTTTGTGTCACGGAATGATGTACTGTTTTTTTAACTGCTTTTGTGTCTGATTAACTGTTTTAGGTCCAAAAATATCCTAAAACAAGGAAAAGTCTTGAAATTTTTCGCAAGTGACAGCTTTACCTAGAGTCATGGAAAACTTGAATTGGTCATGAGAAAAAGTCATGAAATTTGAAGAGCTCAAAAAAATACGAACTCTGTAAAACCATTACACGACCCTTGCTACAGCTAATGACTATGTAAAATTGTCTTGGATATGCGGGGTTGTGTTTTCCATGCACTTACGACTGTCCTTTTTGGTGCTCAGGCATCAATATCTCTTGTTTACTTTCTTGATGCTGCGGAAAGAAGTTTATCGTCAAGTCTATGAATTTATTATGCGCTTTTTGTTTGATGTAGGAACAGCAAAGTATAAGTATTGCAAAAGCTGGCATTGTTTGTAGGTGAGTGAAAAAAATTCCGTGAGTTGGCAAATAATTTTGAGGTCCCGTAATGCTTTGTACCTCCCGAATGCTAGAGAAGCGTTGTTTATTTCACGTCCGCCAGTTACAATGGGGAGGTCAAAATGGAAATACGTTTGCACTTATGTAGTATGGTGGAAAATGTAACAATATTTCCGTTTGTAGATCAAGAAAGGAGGGCGTTTGTCTTCAGTTTTCTCTTCTTTATTTACTTCTCGTAATAGAAATTAGAATCCAGACAACGGAATTCCGTCTCCTTAAGTGTCCTGTTTTCAATGAAAGTAACTGGAAAACAGTCTCAACTCCTCCTTAATTTGGTGACGCAAACGCTATTTTTCTCACAAACGTTTTTGGCAAATGATGTCGTCTTGAAAGAGGATGTGGTTATTCATCGTGATAGGCCCTATTAAGATAAAGTTTTCATGCGTCTCACAATATAGTCCTTGGGTGTAGCGATGCAGTGAGCCTGGAAATGCACCAATGTGTATGTTGATCACTGTGATGCAAAAGATACAACTGCGAAACCGCTCGACCTTATCGCCTGATGAAGACCAGCACACAGCAGTAAGCATTCGAAACGACGTGAACTACATCACAAGTGATCACAAATGACTTTATCGTATGACGAGCTAAAAGTTTGTTGTTATTGTGTCATCTTGCTAACACGAGCTTGGAAACTTGACGTTCTGAATATATCATTTCAGCTTACCAGCAAGGACGTCTATCCTTGCAGCTGCCAACCCAGTGGGTGGCCACTACAACAAAGCAAAGACTGTCTCGGAGAACCTCAAGTGAGTCTACTCTCACAAGTGAAGTTAAATTGTTTGTGGACTGCGTTATAACCGTTTTTACGTAATCAAATTATACATATACATTGTTAAAATCTCGACAATCACGTTTCTTTTGAAGTTATTTTATTGGTCTGACCGTGCAAAAACCTCCCTTCTCATATCCAAGGAAGACCCATCTATCCGATTCTCCTTATTTAAAAGATTCTTTTTGCAAAAAGAATTTAAAAATTTATTCATGTATCTTTTGGAGTGATCACCCGAGCATATTGCCCCGCCCACTTTTACAGCTCTGTCCCATACTGAGTAGCCTGCAAATACAGCTCCTCGCTCCCTGCCTTTAGGGACGTTTCGCGGGGAAAAAAACGTTAAACGCAAAACGTCCTCGGCGACAAGGATTGAGGAAATACTGTTAGTAGGGTACTAGTAAAGCAGCTTGTAACTTATTAAGTAGACTACGAGCAGTCTCTCTTTTTTTTGTCTCGCGGCTTCACCACTCGACGCTCGCGCGCGCGTGCACTCTCCTGACTAAATCTGAAGAAAAGGAGGGACTGCTTGCAGTCAACTTATTCAGTTTTGTATCTTTTACTTCCTTTTGTCCAGGATGGGGAGTGCTCTTTTGTCTCGTTTTGATCTTGTAAGTAGTTTAAAACATCAAGATTATATCTTGTCTTTTTTGAGAAGTTGAGTAATACCTTCTTGTAGTGCTCTTAATACTACTGTGCGCTATGCAAGTTCGTTCTTACTCTTGAGTCTGTGGATCAAATCGTTAAGTGTGATTACTTATAAAAACTGCGAAATGTTTCTCAGTGCTGCTTTTTATTATGCTGCGCAAAGTAGGAATGATACTCTTATTTACAATTAACTGTCGCCTTGCGGACGTGACACCTCTGATACGGGCACCCTAATACTAAGGACAGTGACTAGAAATACAGAGTGTGACTGAAATAAACTCCCGCCATTACGGACATCAACTCGCGCACCGTGTGGTACTGTACTTCATATTAGACACAATTATTTCTAATTTCGATATGACTTCATGTAGACACTCACAGAATTGCTTTCATTTAACTGAAGGGGACACTTTGCGATGTCTATCATATCTAGCATGAATCTCATTAACATGTTATTATCCTGGACATATTTTAATGTTAAAATACTCGGTTCACGAGTTGGTTTGCAATAACGGGGGTTGACGGTTTTGGTTATTTAACAGGGACTGACAGTTTTAAAAAACGCGTTTCATTATAGGTGTTTATTTTGCTGGATAAGCCGGATGAGGTAAGATTTATTTTGAGAGAGATAGTTTGGTGTGTTCTTTTCTGACGAATTGAAAAAGAAGTTTAGATTAACGAAATACGTATAAAACTTACATTTTCTCTTTTTGTTTTAAAACAGGAAATGGATTCCATGTTGTCGGAACATGTCATGGCGTTACATGCCGGAAAAAAGAGGTGAGCTATAGATTAATCTCCGACGGCAGAGCAACGTATGTCACTGGGTGATAAATCGTCTCATAATTTTTAAGAAAATTGTTTGCTTTTTTCCAGTGCGTTTGGAGTAGCCACTGCCAGGCGTCCCTCTAGAGAGGTACAGTTATTTAACGCTCAGTTAACGCCTTATAAGTGTTGAATATTTTTAAATGGTAGCAGTGATAGGTTTTAACTCTTTGTAAAAGAGTCAGTAGAATATGTCACTGGTCAGTGGACGTATAACAACTGATACTACATGAGGATTATCTGCCGAGTACAGCCTGTTATTTTATGTATTCTTGAGGCATTAGTTTGGCTATTTCGTATTCGTATAATGAGTGAAATGTTGCACCATATGTTAAAGCTCTGCACTGCCAAAACAGTTTAGCCACCGTGCTGGTTCTTTGACAGACGCCTTTGGGGCGTTCCTTTTACAGTCGATAAATTAACGATTTAAGTCAGTCGCTAAATGGCAAACGTCTTTCATATTTAGTCAACGTTATTGGGTGCCAGGGGACGTAGATCAATCGACCAATCGAAGCGCAGGAAAATATATATAGCAGAAACCAGTGGCAAGTGCCAAGCGTGAAAAAATATGTAATCCATACCATGGCGAGTCTAAAGCCACCGAGAAGCGCGGGAAGTTAAAACCGGTGGTTAGTGCCAAGCGTGATTTATCCTTCTTCGTCGCCGCCCATGAAGAGTAACTGAACAGGGTCCGTACAGGTGATGGAAAACCTTGAAAGTCATCTAATTTAAGAATTTCATTTTCAAGACCTGAAAAGTCATGGAATTTAATTTTCGATCCTTGAAAGTCATGAAAAATGGAAGTTTTGTTTGGTAGATTAGTTACTACACATGATAAAGTCAGATAAAGAGGAGTAATTAAACAGCGCGAACGACACGCATTGTGGTGGATACCAGAGTTTTTTTCTGTTGAACTGTTTAAGGTAAAAAAATAAGCTAAAATAAAGAAAGTTTTGAAAATTTTCGAAAGTGACAGCTAAACCTAAGGTCATGGAAAACTAGAAAAGGTCATGGAAAAAGTTATGGAAAGTCATGGAATTTGAAGAAGTCAAAAGAGTACGACCCTGCTGAAGTCTGTTAACTTTTAATTGGGCTGTTAAAAAATTGTTACTAAGCTGAGGTAGTGTTAGGTTGTGTTCAGCCTACGTAGTGTGAATAACCGCGTGTTTTTCCTCACCCAACACAGGACAGTGGCAGTGATGAGGACGAGACCAAGAAGCAGTGGGAGGCTGGGAAACCACTCTCTGAACGTCTGAAGGTGAAATAAACTCTTTTCCTTTTTCAATTATATTTTACCTGGCTATCAGGAATTTTCTCATGGGGCTTATATGATTGGGTATAACTGTAGTGAATTTTTGCTATTTAGTTCTTCTAAGAAAAGTTTTGATTTTCTTGTACTGGTCAATGGAAATTTTCAGTCGTTTTAGTTGGCTGACTTTTAACCATCGTGTGCTCGTTTGAATTTAAAATTCCTTGTTCATGGACTTTTCTCGATTTTTCTCTCATGCACAGATTGGCCGAAATGAAGAGTTTGACGCAATCCCCGCTCAACTTTTGCGAAAGGTATGCGTCGAGATACTTTTACTCAACGCTAGTTGAACTTTCTTTGGTTTCACGACTTCACCGAGGCGGGTCAACCTTTTGTGATGGTAAGATCACCCTCCCAGACGGGCCAACGTTGCTCCATATAAACACTTTGGCTCGCCCACCCGGGTCATCTCGAAAAATATCAGAAAATGCACTATGCGCAACCGCTATTGGCTCTGGCAAAGGGGTCATTTTCTCATACAAACTCTCGCTAAAGTGGACTCTTTTACCTGGGACAGGTTTTCTCCTTATAAACAGGGCCTAAATCTGTCAACACCGCTGGAAAGAGCCCGTGACCATGATTAAGACTTTAACATCGACCACAGGCACCAAGAATATCGTAGATCCATTTTAAGCTTTCATTTTACGTTAAATGTAGCAACCACCCACGTTCGATATATTAAGTTAAGGACAAAATTGCAATTTTTTCTTGACTCCATTGTCTTGCAATCCCCAGAAAAGACTTGAGCACAAAGAAAACCAAACCACATGTAGAAAAATGACCACAAAGCCTCGAAGTCATGTCAGAATTTTAATGCATGGCACGTGGGCTATTTTCGCTGGGTAGGTGTTTCGCGAAACGTTGTTAATTCTGTTGTTCCATTGTGTCTACTTTACAGTATGTTGGTTACGCAAGGACTTACGTCCACCCTAAACTGACACCGGCAGCGGCAGAGGTCTTGCAGGTGAGACGCGTTAAACAGATTTTAGTTTTTTTTTAACAGATGGGAAAGGATTTAGAAAAGGAAATCACCAATTGTCATGCGAGGATGAACTAATCTGAGGAGCAAGAGAAAATACAATTTGCGTTGATGAGACTTTAAATAAATTAATAATCTGCTTTCCCGCCACGGAAAAGAGGACTGGGTTCGAGTGTTGCGTGCGAGGTATCGCGAATTGATGGTTTGCAATAGTTAACGTTTTGGTCTTCGTGACATTCTACGGTCAGCCTTGTCGCGTCAACTTGTTTCGTGAAATTAAGTTTTCATTTTGTTCTATTTTTGGCTTAGCTTCATTTTCCAGCAGTGCTATAACGTATACTTCTTAGCTGCTTTTATTATCGTTTTGCTTTTATATTTCGTTTGCTATGCACGTTATTATGGCTTTATTTCACTGATTGGCGTTATAACCCCAAAGGTGACAGCATAGCAACGGCTGGGGCTACACGGTCCTTTTTTCTGCAATAGTTGTTTTTTTTTCAGGTTTATTTGTCCGGCTGTGGCGTATTCATATAGATCTTTTTCACTCACGGGGCCATCAGCTGTGCAAATTTCTTGGAAAAAAAGACTGAAATGTTTTACATTAGGAAAGAGTTCAATCCCCTTTGGATTTTTTCTGCACACCAACATGGCCCCGTGACGTCATGTGAAGACGATTTGATATAAAGTGTATCATGGGTATGGCTGACCGACGCTCCCATGCCTCATAGCGTTGTTTGTGTGTTCGGTTGTGTAGTGGAATTTTTGAAGGCAAAATATTTTTTCTTCATTGACTTGTTTATTAATTCAAATTTGTTTGATTACTTTTTTGGGCAGAATTTTTACCTTGACCTTAGAAGGCAGCACCACAGTGCTGACAGCACCCCCATCACTACCAGGCAACTGGAATCACTCATAAGACTTACTCAGGTACACCTAACTAAAATTTGTTTAAAAAATGGCGTTGTAGGGGTAGCACCGTTACACTCACTGGTAACTTAGTAGTTTACATTGTGGTTCACAAATAAGGATAAAAACAATTAATTAAAATAAACGTGATCTCAACTGACTGAAGTTAAACCAGATGGGAAGCATGGCTGATTAGCTGAATTCGGTATCTATCGAGAACAAATTCTGTAACGATTCAAAAGCAAATGACTGAAGGACAGCAAGGATCAACTCTCAGGTGTTTATGTAAAGGAGGTGTCTGTCTTATCATCTTATAGAGATGAATCAAACCTCTCTTGCAACAAATCACCGGGTTGTTGTAGGTTGTAAAAAGTTGTTGCAGAAAGTAGAGAGTAGTTCTACTCTTTGCAACAAAATCTGTTCATGTTGCGCGTTTTACCGGCCTTAGCAAATGCTTTACAACAAGGGACCTATTTCCTGTGCATCGCGTAACTCCCACGTAATTTTATCCAATCAGAACTCAGTATTCACGCAAGGTGCAACAACTTGATTTGTTGCAAGACAGGTAGGCTTGGCTTATTCTGCCTGCCGGAGTGCTCGGAAAAATCGCTTATTCTGCTCAAAATTCTGCTCAGACATCCTTATTCTGCTTGAATTCTGCTCGTTATCCGAAAAGAATTTTGGTCCTTCGGGCCGTATTTATTTTTGTAAATATAGAAGGGAGCCTGGTCCTAACCCTAAAAAAAAAAAAAAAAAAAGATGTTCATTATGCGTAGCAAAGTTGTAATTCATCTTACTTTTAATGTGAGTGCCTTATAGCTATTAAATAATCAAATTAATCACAAAGTATTTTCCATTTGTTTATTATTTAGTTTTAAATTTTGCTTGCAACCGTTATGCACATCAATTGTGCCGCTGAATTTCCCTTATTCTGCTCAAATTCTGCTCGAAAATGCCTTATTCTGCCGGCAGAATGCTCGCCTCAAGAATCGCTTATTCTGGCAGAATTTATCCAAGCTAAAGACAGGTTTGAAGGTGGTTGCCAAAACACTCAAGAAAGGTTTTCAACTCGTTTTTCAGAATTAGTTGCACGATTTTGTTGCCCGTTTTTCCGCAACTTTATACGAGACGTAGCCCTCAACAGGGCTTTTTTACTAAAGTGATTTGACTGAAAATTTTATTGTACCTTGTTTTTTAAGGCTCGCGCACGCCTGGAGATGCGTGAAAAGGCTAGTCAACAGGACGCCCAGGATGTGGTGGAGATCATGAAATACAGTCTACTTGATACGTTCAGTGATGACTTTGGAAACCTGGATTTTCAGCGCTCTCAACATGGATCGGGAATGAGTTCAAGAGCTCAGGTAGGGCTGTGTATGATTCGTTTATTAAGTGGTGCCGTGAAGGCTTGGAAGTGGGAGGGAGATTTTTAGGTCCTGGTTCTCCAGAAAAAAAAATTGAAGCTGACTTTATAAGGCTAACACAATACTGGTAAACTAGCAGTTTTCATTGCGGCCCACAAGGTTAAGAATCCCAACTGGCCGTAAACAAACCGGTTGGCTATTTACTTAGGGGACCGAGGAGTTCAACTTGGAACTGCCGAGAACAAATCCAGCTAGCGGTTAATGTGGGGATTTAATATGGGGCCTCCGGATTACAATTCCAGCACTCTAACCTCTTGGCCACCCTGCAACCTAAAGGTCGTTCAAGCAGACAATTAAGTTACCCAAAGAATTGAAATCAAACTTAGCGGGGATAAAACCCCCAACTGGTAGGAGCGTGACGGAGGATTTGAACTCGGGACTACCGTGAACAAATCCAGCTCGAGGTCAGAGTGGGGCGACGGATTGCAAGTCCAGCTCTCTGACTACTCTGCACGCTGTCTACCTTATACACTACTGTCTCTCTTCACACAGGGCCTGGTTGCGCAGACGTTCAGGGTTCTATCTGGGATATTTGAGAGGTAGAAGCTCCCCCCACCCCCCCACCCCCCCAAAAAATATTGTTATCATTACAGTATACAAGTAACTATATCGGAAAAATCATCAGATGCGACGAGGTCAGTGCACGTGAAGAGTATTCCTCGTCTGACGACACAATCGTGTCTCAATATGCACCAGATTGCCTCTCATATTAATTTCAAAAAATTTCCGGGGACAGGCCCCCGGATCCCCCTAGGAAGCTCGTGGCCGCTTGGACTTTCCCCTAACGACAAATCCTAGATAGAACCCTGACACTGGATAGCACCATCCACCGGATTAATATTTATTCATCGTATAAGTATTAGGAAAACCAATTGCATTATCCTACCCAAGGATTTGAACAACCAGTTGTTCGAAGGCCGATAAGCGCTAACCCGGGTTTAAATTTTTATCCGGCGGGTTTCCTTTTTCTTTTGATCAAAAGCACCAAATTGGAGGCAAGAAGAACTACACTGAATTGCCTTAAAAGCTTTCGCATCTGAATTCAAATTTCGCACTTGTTTATACAGGTCAAAATTAAATTCAGGTTACATTTTCTTAACCTAGGGTTATCATCAATTTCCTTTGTTCTTAGCCTTAATTGTGAATAATGAGGGCTAGGAGTCAAAGCGAATCACATTAACACACCCTGGGTTATCTTAACCCAGCTTTGAAGAACCCGGGTCTGGTGTACAATTAATTGGTACTGGCCACATACTCCTGTCGATAGAAACCTTGGATGAGCTAATATCCCGTCCCGTCCGGGGTCTATAAAACCCCGGGACAACCTCCGGCCGTGTGAGCCACCTTGGCTCGCATGCGTCTTTGCCTTATACCTTATAGGCTAAGTACCAAAATCAAGAAGACATTCTTAACCTCTTTCTTCGTTCCTTTTTAATCTTCATCTTTTCTGCAGTCCAAGCGCTTTATTGCTGAGCTGAGTCGTGTATCCGAAAGGGAATACAATTCTCTTTTCACGATTGAGCAAATGAGACGAATTGCAAAGGTAAATAGAATCTTTTTACTGTCCTAACCAGCGGCCATTCTGTATCCTATTTTCTCTTCCTTTTAATACGTACAGCGTAGAAACCGATGATAAACAATTATTAATTGGACTATCAGATAATTGATCACCAACAAATCGCTCTATTCTGCGAAACACCTTAATAGTTGTTTTATCACTGAATCGGTATGGAGAAATGCAAAGCAGCTAATTGACCATCAAAGACAGATACCATATGCTGCACGTTAGCAGAGCATTGTCAGGGGGAAGAAAAGTTTCCTCTGCCCTAAAGCAGATGATTTTCGTTAGGTAATTACCCAGAGTGACGTTATACCTCTAGACCAATCAAGACTTGGAAAATCAAAACAATTTGAATGATAATATAATGCGCATTCTAAAGAATCTTCTCCACAGCCGTTCTTCTCTTGTCACCCAACGCTCCTTGGGAAGAAGCGTTGCGTGACGAGACAAAAAGGCTGCGTGGGAGACTAAATTTTGAACTACCCCTATTAGTATCTATTGTCTACGGTTACGAGAAAACGCTCGTTTTCATAACCGACCCCTTTCGACATTCAAAAACGAAAAAATCATCTTAGTTGGTAGAACGTTTGGCAAGTCCGGAATCAATCGAAAGTAACTTAAATGCTCGATTTAGCAACCACTTCAAACAGGCACCCTTCTTGGAAACTTCGACCCCTTCAAAGGGTTATGCATGGTATATGCAAATAATTCCCGTCAATTTTGTTTCTTTCCTAACGCAGGAGTTGCGACTACAGATTCGTAGTTTCGATGACTTTGTGTACTCGTTGAATAACCAAGGATTCTTGCTGAAGAAAGGTCCGAGAGTGTACCAATTACAGACCTCAAGCTGCCTTTAAATAAAACGACCATTTTTTCTCGCAACTTTTGGACGGTACCCATTTGGTTTTGCGAGGAAACTTTTGTCTATAAATGTCAGTTAAATAATTATTATATACGTCTCTTTACAATAAAGAAAACGTATAGTTTTTGTTTTATTGAAATCGGGAAAAGGGTATCTTAATTGCAGACGAGCGAGCAATTGCGAACGGGCGGAAAGCGGCATCTTTTTAAATGCCTCAATCCGCCCACTACCGTGCCAACTTCCAAAAAACCGTTTCTCATGTCAGTCAAATCTCAAATGTCAAAACGTCGAAAGGTGCGGTGTAGGAGGGTGACCAATCATAGGGTATACCAGAAGCTTGGGAGTTCTTGCACAATACTTGTGAAAAACAGACATGAAATGATTTGGAGTAACAGAATAAGCTAGGACTTAATTGCAGAAGGTCCCCATATTTAAACGGCGTTTACAAGACCCACGACCACAAACTAGACTGCTGTTCTCAGGAGACGAATCATCAAGATCATAGCTAATTCAACTCCCTGGGTTGGGGGAGAAGAAAACCTTTCTGTTAAAATCTGTCTTCACTTTAAGACCAAAGTAGTTCAGAAATCATACACTTAAGCAGCTTAAAATTTAGGGAGTTCACTTCCGGGTTTCCACCTGTTTTTACATTGAAATCCTATTAAAAATTGGGCCTTCATCTTTGGAACAAAAATATGGGGACGTGACAAATCCCCGGCAGTGATCGAACACGCTTGCATCCTTTCTTTATGTCCTTTCCTGTTTTTATAATAACTGGCCCTTAATGTTCTACCCTTTGTCTTGGCTTGGGTGGGTAATTTGTAGGGAGAGATCTCATTTAAGAAAAAATCCCTTTGTCCTTTTATCGGAGAAGGGTTAGTGTTACTTGTTAGCATCTCAGTTCAAAATTATCCTGTTCTTGTAGTGGTGTTGGTGCTCATTGCTGACATTTTATCACACTTCCTACGAGAATAGAGAAGAAGCTCTTAAAAGAAAGTCCTCTTTATCCTGGGAGGACGCATGATCAGATTCGTAGACGTTGTAGAGATTTTTTGTCCACACCGCCTACAGTCTTAAACACCATGGTCCAACCTTGATAAAACAATGTGTTAAACATGATAACGACAATGAGAACGCTAATGATAACAATAACACAGTAAACAGACTTACATAACGTTAACTGAACTGAGTGGAGTGCAATTTGGTCTGAAATCATAGGCGTGATTTTAAAATTCTCCGAGCGCGCAGCGCGAGTTCGATTTAAAATCACAGGTATGTTTCCAGACCAAAATTGCACGACACAATTAATCAGTTATTTAGGGTGGATTCATTTGCAACATACGCGTATAGTTGTCGCAGTTGCCCGCTAGAATTTTTTTCATTGTTTTTAGGCTTAGAAACAATAAAAATTCCAACAGGCAAACGCGACAGCTATACGCGTATGTTGCAAATGAATCCACCCTTAGTCAACCAATCTTATTACCGTAAACTGCCGCTTATAGACCCGGCCATTTATCACCCGCTACTTCCCCCTCCCTGCAGTTATAGGCTCATCTACCTGCAAAACATTTATGATTACCACTACCATTTATAAGCTATAGAAAACGTTTTCTGTGTTTTCATAGCCTGATATAATAATAATAATAATAATAATAATAACAAATAAATAAATAAATATAAAACTTGTATTGCGTATATACAATAGAAATATTTTCATATGCGCATAACAGACGATAAGATAAAAATAAGTCGAATTAAAAGCTATCATAAAAATGTAAGTCGATTAAATTCTATGTTAAAATAATAATAATAATAATAATAATAATAATAATAATAAAATAATAATAATAATAAAATAAAATAAAAAAACAGATGAAAGCTAAAAACTTAAAAATAAATGAATAAGCTATCTTAAAAAGGGACCTTTAGAGAGCTCCCTTAAAAGATGTGAGGCTCTGAATGTTTCTGATCTCCGCCGGAAGACTGTTTCACAGTTTGGGAGAAGCCCACTGAAAGGCTCGGTCACCAAGTGTAGGTAGGCACCATGCGTTGGCTGGTACCAACAAAGTTGCATTCCTGGACGTAAGATATAAACACGAGAGAGGTTGGGAGAATTGGAGACGAAGTTGAGGGTTGGCATAACCGTAGGGAGTTCTCGCAGTCCCTCGAGTTACACAAGAATCGCCTCATGCCATACTGCTGACGTTTCATTTTAACGCTCGCTGCCGACCATATAAAAGCTGGTACATATTAGGAGAGAAATTTATACAGGGTAATGCCTGAGCCCCAAGGCCTTCTTAAAAGTAACGACCCCGTGCTGCGCGCTCGGTCTCGGTGAAGGCATTATCCCATTTTATGCACCTTTCTTTTGTTTTAGAAGCAGTCAGTCATTATTGTGGCCTGCACTGAAGTGAAACAGTAGGTTATTCGTAATAATGACCTTCTCTTCCACCTCAGTGACCTGTTCCTCCATTTATTGGAAAAAATGACTACCTGTTGATAACAATAGAAAGGTGCTGTAAGTGCAAACTGTGAACGATTATTATTATACACCTTTCTCACGCGGGGGCCATTTCGTCTCGGGAGAGACAAGGCTAGCCTGGCATAAACAAAGCTTTTTAAATCTCCTGAGACAAAATGGCCGCCGCGTGACAAAGGTCTATTCATTCAAAATATTTCTCCGTTTCTGATTGGCTAAAAGAATACGCACCAGCTACTGTCGAGCAAATCTGGAAGAATTTTACGATATTGAACCGACGACGTCAAAAGTGCAGCAAAGTTGCGCGTTAATGAACCGTTAGCCGAGAAGACCTGAGGACTAGGTTGAGTTGTTTTTGCCGACTTGAATAGCCCTCTATCTTTTAAACTTCCTGATACTATCGAGATGAACTGAACATCGACGCTGGTAAGCATGTTTTAGCCTGTTTTTAAAATAGGAATTATTCTGAATGAATAATAAAGCAATTATTTTTCGACTGATTTTAAAGGGATTTAAGGTCATTCCCCTGAATTGCATTGCGCATCTGTACTGCGCATAGGATTGTAATACTAGTCACGCAATCTGTCAACATGGCTACCGTCGGCGTCGCGTCGGCACCAAGTCGAGAGATAAAAAAGGTTTTTTTCTAAGTTCAAAAGAAAAGGGAAGACGAGAGAAGTTAAAAAATATTTGGACAAGGAAGTGTTGTAATGTGAAAGGTGATGGAGGCGTTAGCACAAAAAAGAAATGCATCGAAGACGGCAGCTGCAACTTTCGAGGCAGACGAGTAATCGAGTTAGACGTCCTGGCCAGAGCCCTGGATAGTGGTTGCAGAGCGTGTGGAAAAGCACTTCAGCTATCAAACTGCCATGATGCGACTATCTCTGGGTTGGGTAGTTTTTTGTATATTATGTGCAGCGATCCGGAATGTGGAGAGGTAAATGCGTGAACCACAAACATCGCATCGTGCCGCCGGTGCTGGTCGCGGCCGACCAATTTTTCATAAAAAGACCAAACTTGCCACAGGTAGGTATATTTATTTGATTAGCAGCTTTTATCCGAACATTTTTCCGAGCTTCATCATAATTTAACAATCATAATACCGTGTAATAACTAACTTTTAAATGTACATGTACTGTGTTTATGTGCAGGAATGTTACACGCCGGTATGTAAACGCACTGCTCACGTCGATAAACGTTCCAGCCGTGGGACAAAACACTCTGAAGGCCAGAGAAAGAGAAGTTGGCGCAGCGATTGAGACTGTTGCAAGGAATTCATGTTTAGAAGGATTACAGTTGGAGAAAGATTGTCGGAGGACCGTGGACACAGAGCAAGTTGTAAAAATCGGGGTATCGTACGACATGAGTACGCAGAAGAGGGGAAAGGGTCACAATACTTTGACAGGTTAGTCCTATAATATACATAAAGCTAAGAAATAATGGAGGCATTTTTGCTTTGCTTGCATGGCATCCATATGTTTATGTCTGTTTATCCATTTTAAAATACAATATTTAACAAATTCACAACAATTTTTTCTTTTGCTATAATAACAATAATAACAAGATAATGAAATAGCAGCTGTAGAAGTTAAAATTAATTATTATTTTTACCCTAGACGACAAAATTTCCATCCAACAGCAGTCAGGCAATTTAACATTTGATTTCCTTTAACAATAATATTATTATTAAAACCGAATATTGGAAGCAGGGTGCTTGTTCAAATCATCCTCAAAGACAGTGAATGAGCTAAATAAAATACTAGCATTATTAATCGACAACAATGAGTCATTCATTTAATTTATAGAGGTATTGACTTTTTGACTAAAGTAAATAAAACGAGACTATTTTTTTTCCTAGGAGAAGGGTCTATGATTGGGCTATCTTCAGGCAAGGTGGTGGGCTAGCTACAGCGCAAGGACGAAGAGACGTGCAGTATGTGAGGCAGCTAAGAGAAATGGCAAGGAACCGAGGTCACATGACTGTCGGATGAACTGGACAGCTTCCACCAAGGTCCTCACAGAGAAATTTAGCGGCAGGGCAAGAATCACAATTAACCAGAGAATTCTTGAGAGCATTTCCAGTTGCTTTGCAGACAAGTAAAATGTAAATCCCTAATATGGGAATGTAAACAAGAAAACGATAAGTTATGATATTTATCTGTGCTTTTGCTGAATTAATTATACAGTGTGTGATGAGAAACTTAGCTAAACTTACCTGTATAAACATGTACATTCTTAGTTGACACAGACAAAGGTATCCGAAGTCACCCGAATTCGGCATGCAGTATCTCCTGGTCTCTTGTACGGGTCACCAAAATTCCGAAAATAAGCCCCGGGCTTGTATTTTTCAAAGGCCCTTTTGAGGGGCTTATTTTAGGAGGGGCCTATATTCGGAGGGGCTTATGTACGGAGGGAAATTTGCGTTTCAAAATCGATTGGGCTAGCTTGTGGTGGGAAGGAAATTTAACATTTTTGCTTTGTTTTGCTTTGTATTCGAGGGCAAATTCAAGTACAAGCCCCAGGGGCTTATATTCAGAGGGGCGATTTAACAGAGGGTTTTGCATTACGATTTTGGGGGCTTATATTTGGAGGGGCTTATACATGGAGGGGCTTATTTTCGAAATTTTACGGTATTTCATTAAGAAAGCCATGCAAGTATTATGTAACAGGCAAAATTTCTCGAAATTATAATTAAAGTGTCATATTAAAGTGTCAGATTCAGTATTGCTTGATCTTTTTTATTGTACCAAAGTAACTTTAATTTGGTTGCCATGGCAACCATTTTTCATCATTTTGTCCTCAATCGGGAGCCCAGATAAAGCATCCCTTTAACCTGTCACTTACCAACCAAAAATTAGATCTATACAAATAAGTACAGTTAAATTTACGATGTTTTTTTCCTGGAAGAGAAATGGGCCTGCCCACCTGGGAACAGAAAATGATGGCATAGCTTCCAAGCGAATACCGGCACCCCCTCTTTTTTTCGCTTGTTTGACTTTACAACCAATAGGCTGCCTACACAAAAAAGAATGGACAATTTCCTATGTTCAGAAAAAAAAATATAAAGGAAAGTATAAAGCCAAAACCCATTTTTTCAATGAAATTATGGTAACCATGGTAACAAACTTAAGGGAAGTGCTTCCTCGACGTATGCGTTTTCGTACCAAAAGCCTTTTGAAAGTGTTACTCTTGTCCAACTCTAAATGTGTATAACCTTATTTCGCACAATCAATAGTATTCTGAGTGTTATCAGGCCTAATTATTGATATAGTCCATGGTGCAAGGCAGCAAACCGGAAGTTTCGAAAATTGCCTCAAAGGGGGTATGTTTGAGCCCTCGCAGCTCGTAAACGAATACCGGCACCCCCCTTTTTTATTTTGATTTTGAAGTCCCAGTATGATGAATAGTTAATAGACAAAATTTGAGAAAAAATCTATGTTAAGTTCTATTTCAGGGGAATGACCTTAACCTTTAAAAAACGCTATTGAAATTTTATGTTTCAAAATAACAATGTTTTAATAGCCTTATTATCGGTTTTAAAATTAAGTAAGGGTTTTGTAAAAACAATAGAATTACTTTAAAAATAGCATCAAAATACTACAGAAGTAGAAAAGCAAAAGCACATTATGAAAATACATCAAAAACAGAATCATGATGCAAAAATGCAAAAACAGTGTACAAATTGATAGAAAATAGCCTTAGAGTTGTCTAAGAACAGTACAAAATTCGGTCGAAAAAGGATAAAAACAGTACAAAACAGGATGGAAATACCATAAAAATTCATTAAAGCACATATGAATACAAAAATATTTAACCGTCGTAATTTACCTTGAAAAAGCAATATTCACCCAGGCGAAATTTCTCCACAAAGTACAAGGATTTAACAAGAATTTTGTCTTAGCCGATTCCTTTACGTTGATCATTCCTTAAAATTCTACGGAAATATTCTTAAGGAATTTTTCAGATATGCTGAAATCTTCATGCATGTAACTTAAGGTGGCTCGACTGGATTTTTTTAGCGGGGTACCTTTCAAGTTTGAGCCTTAACTACGTCGGCATGAGTAAAGATATGGAAAAAACGGTTACCACAACTGTATTACATAAAGATGAAAATTTCTTATGATCTGGGTTTTATTGCAATCGGAGTCGCCATGGCAACGTAATGACCCCATTACGTTTTTCATGTATCGTTGTGTTTCTCTGTACCAGGAGTTTTTGGAAGAAATCGCTTAACGGAGTATGTGCCTGCCATAATTGCCTCCAATATGGCAAAGTTTGAAGAAATTCTATGAGAGCGTTTTCGAGATATTTCGAAATGCAGTTTTAAGAATCATCAAAGCAGTGAAATAGCATGCTAGCCGCTCAATTCGCTAATATTTTAAGAAAATGATAAGCTTTGGGAACGCGGCTTCATCTCATAGTGGATTGATTCCATTGAAAACTGCATACAAAAGAAGAGGGGAATTGCTCTGGGCGATTGTGAGTAAGAAGGATTTTATTAACTTGCATTCAGATGCTTTTGATACAGTTTTTGGAGGTAATTTGTTCCATGCCTAAAAATTTCGCATTTTTCCAAAAACCGCTCGATAAATTTTTTTTTAAATTCGACAATTTCGAGATCAATCGTCAAGAAATATTCCCTGCAAGTTTTAAGAACATTGCAAACAGGAAAGGCATTTGAATAGGGCCTCAAATATAGCCAATTTTTTCCCAAAATTTTGTGTTTACAAGCGAGCGTCATCTTTATGTAATACAGTTGTGGTAACCTTTTTTTCCATATCTTTACTCATGCCGACGTAGTTAAGGCTCAAACTTGAGAGGTACCCCGCTAAAAAAATCCAGTCGAGCCACCTTAAATTGTTAATTGCATTCACTTCACTCCGAAGAACTCATGGCACATGCAGTTTGATTCCAGTATCATTAAGAAGCTTGCAGGCTAGGCCCGAACATTTAATTACTATAAAGAACTACATAAGAAAAACACCGTCAAATTTGCGCTAGAACGAAAGAGGACCGACGTGACATTAATTGTGCGAGATCAATCATACAACTGAAACAGCGAGCCTGAGCAAGGAACACTGCAAAACTAACATGCCGTGCAGCCGGGAGTATGTAAATGTTTACTGTTTACCCTTTATTTCTTTCTCATATGGCGTACACTTAAACGTTTCAGTCATATGTTAAGCAAAACGAGGGAACAAAAAGAGAGTTTAAAAAAGACATTCGAATATTTTTAAACGGCTCACCAGCAACTGAAGCAAGGGAAATCCTTGAAGCAGAGTTGTACTTATATAAAGTTTCGGACAGACTCCTAAGACAATGAATGGCAGGGAAAATATATGGCAATTAAGTGTAATGTACGATGGCGTGCGATTTTTCATTGGTTGAAAACTGATCTTGGGTGTTCGTTTCAGGAGAAGAATTTGTATCGCGTTTCTCATAGTTTTCTGCTTCGCTGGTGAATCAGTCGATCAGCTTTCTCCAGTATCGGAAATAGAATTGGAAACCGGCATCTGAAGTAGGATAACGTTATCTGTTCGCGTCAACTTGATGACTAAGAAGCCAAGAGTGAAAGCAAAACGTCTTGCACAGCTTACAAGGGGTCCTACAAAAATACTTTTTTCACAAATAAAAAACGATAAATGAGCACAGATTGTGTTAGGATGTTGGGTTGTTGCTATATTATTAGTAAAGTCACAGATGCAAAGGAAATATCCACTTTCAGACCGGCATTGAATACACTAAAAGCAAAGGACCATCGCTGCAGTCATAAAACGTGGTTGGAACGATCACAAGTTGAATACTACAAAATATGCAAAACAGGCAAATCTTTTTTAAAAATTAGAAGAAACACATACATTAAAGTATAGTATCAATCGCTCTCTCGAATCTTAAAGAACCAAGAGAGGACAAAAGGCCTCTCCCCGGATAAGAGAGCGAATACAATTCTCTATCCTCTATTGAAAGTTGTATTGTGATGCTGGTAAATAATTTTGATTGAACTTAAATTCATTCTACTTGACATGCTTAGATGCATGATTTCTGATCCGGTAACTTGCAAATCCCGCCTAAACGTCCTTAAACCCTTCGTTTCAGCCGGTTATTGTAGTTAGGGAAGTTGATTGAAATATTTACCGAGTTTCAGTGTTTTGAACTGGATTTCTATGTTCCCTTTGTCTGCTCTGTTCTGAAATATAATCAAGCGCAGATGGTTTTTAATTCCCTGGGCCACCAGTTAATTCTTAGCCAGCCCAAAGCTTTAGGGCCACAGGGATATTAAATCCTACCCACCTGAGTGGAGATTAATCGCAATTGTTTGCGACTATTTCATCAGCTACGTTATGGTAGCCTGAGATCAGGCTCTTTGGTGGGGAAAAAACGAAGGAAA